AGGATGGTCTGGGCTCCTGGGAGCTGGCCTCGCAGATAGTGGCCTCGGCGATGGACTTCTTCCCCTGGATGCTTGTGCATGTCTCCAAGGAGGTAACTTGCGACGAAAACTTGGTGATCTTCTGCGCCTTGCGGGTGGCGACGGTGGCGTCGGTAATCTCCGTCGACGCAATGGACTCCTTGATCTCCTTCCGGTCTCGGCCATCCTTTTGATCTCAACCTGTTCTGTCCTAAGATGTCCAACATCTGTTGCAAGCCCTTGTACCAAACGTCTAATCTCATCAAGTTGATCTGATGTAGGATGTCCTGCAGTGGGGTGATCTGATGTAGGATGAGATGAATGTCCACCTGAAACATCATCGGCTGGAGCATCGCGCACGTCACGGCTTGAAGCCACATTGCCTCGTGATCGTGCCAACCTTGACATGTTCGGGATCAAATGTCGAATTTGTCCCAAGCTCGCAGCCATGTCCTTACATCCATGACAAACTCCACCACAACGCATCTCTCCCCACATCCAAGATGATGCATGAATGAGAACAACGTCATAACCAAGGACCTTGAGACACCTGTAGGCAGCAAATCCCTGTCCCACTGACCTGTGGCGACCCGACTTGCATTCCAAATCCACCAGCACCTTACTGTCGGCTTCCTGTTGTGTGACAAACTGGAGGATGTTGTTGAGATGTTGGATGAACTTGTCGACCTTGCTCATAGTCTCAAGGATTCCATGATGCCAACCCACATGAGATCTAAGATTTATGTCCTGATCAGGATCATAAATGTCTTCACAGTTGATGCTCAAAGTGTTCCTGCGAGATCTGCATGCATGTTGTTGAAATCTGCGTCCACGAGTCATGATGACCACCTTTCTGTCACTGCGCAGCTCTTCGTTCAGCTTCGTCTGCAAGATGTCATAGTCCCTCGAATGAAAACCACACATGTCATGGTCAGCCATGGCAACTTCCGATGTGGATGCTGTGTATGCGATATTGTACTTTCTGTGACACTTCGGGATTTGGGGAAGTTCATCCGACGGTGTGTTGTTGATGTTGGTCAATCCTTCAGTCAAGTTCATCACAAGTAAACCTGATTTGGAACATCTCTTGATATTCAATGGTTGATCTTTGATGGAAATCACCCCTTTTGCTAGGTCCTTCACTAGGCCTAACTTGGTTTGCGCATGCAATGAAAGAAGCAATGGGCTGTTGCCTGTTGACAATTGATATGAATCCAACTCCCCATGCATGTTCCCGTCTGGAAGCAGCAGCGAAAAAGGAATAGATCTCACACCTTCGGTCTTGGTACTACCACTTCCCAGACCAGCAAAACTCTTACAACCGTCATCCTTCAATGGCATGCTGTAACCTAATCGGGCCAGTCGTGCTTCTGCATCGACTGCCCAGGCTTTGCTATGACAAGTGCTGTTGCAACCTTCATCCAATACTGCAAAAACATGGGGTGACTTGGCAATGTCAACAGTTTCATAGTTCATGTAAACCAAGTCTTGAGGGTATTGAGTGTCACTTCCATGCAAACAAATGCCAACGTACCCAGCTAACTCCCTGCCCGAGGGGTCGCCGTGCCCATCTTCATTGACAAGAGAAAAACTGTCCTCTTCCTCTGTCACGTCATTGATGGCTTGATGCAGTAGTTCATGAAGACGTGCACGGGTCATCACCTCAGATTGGCAGGTTTCGGTAACAAGAGTGGCAAACAAGGGTAACAACTCTTCCAACTGGACTGGATTCAATCCATCCGATTCTTCAACCAATGATTCAACAATGGGGACTGCTCGAACTGATGCTGTTTCAACCTTCTTGGCAATTGCAACACGCTCCTTACGAATCTGCATAGGAGCTTCATCAATGAACGTGCAACACTTCTTGCAGAAAGTACGGTGTGTTGATTTGCTGGATCCCCTAAAATCGGTGTCATCATGAGGGCAATTTTCAGGGGACATCAACGGTACCATGTCACGCCTTGTTGTTTCGGAATGACCGCACACAAGACAGGTCTTCCTGATGGTGTACCCCGTAGAACCTTGTTTTGTAAACTCACGGCATTCCTGACACTTGTTCGGCAAAGGAGGATTTGGGGGTTTCTTTCTGCCAGTTCCCCGAGCCACCAACAAATCTCGGTGCTCGACATGCTCAACAGGGACTTCGCGCAAGTGAATCCCATCAGCACCAACCACAAAGTACTTGTCAACCCAATTCAACCATGTGACATAGTATGGACTCTTGGGGGTGTGTTTCTTGGCATGATGATAGTACCCTGTCTGTTCAAACAGCACATTCCAAAAAGACAAACCCTTGAACTGTCCAACAGGAAAGATGCACCCATGGTCCTCGGGTCTCATTGTAATATCGAGATCCCGGGAAATCAAGCCAACGTTGCTGCTGGATGCTGCTGCACGTGAAGGTCGACTGCTAGGCTTCGCTTGTCGAACTGCCATCATAGCAACTCCATCTCTGTCACGATCAGGTGAAGCTGTCAGAGTCACACCATCGTCATCTGAAGAATCGCTCATGTCGGCAAAGTGAGCTGCGGGCTTTGGGGCTGACTTTCCAGGGGCTCCGGCTTTCGACCCCGGGAATTTACATTCCGGGTCACCGGCCCAGTGCCCTATGACTCCGCATCTCAAACATTTGCTCTTCGACTTCAGCTCTGTGAGCTTCCGTCTCCTCTGATCGATCGTGAGGTTGGACTTCACGATCTTTCCTTTCCCCTTTCCTTTGGGCTTCCCGAAGGATTTGCCCTTGCCACCTGCTTTCCCCATTGCGGTGAAAGCAGCAAGTTGTAGCTGGATGGCGTCTCCTGCTTGTCGATCGTCTTCTGCACCTTCAACTTCAAGCAAGCTGTTCAATGCAACTGCTTCGTACTCATCGACGTCGTCAAAGTAATCAAATTCGTTGTCACCTTCTAGGTTTCCTGGCTCCTCTTCTGCAATGTCACCAAGCATGCCAACATATGAATCATCCTCCCAGGATTGATCCGCAGCTTCATCCCAAGATTCTGCATGTTCCTCCCCATCATCGGGGTAGGCTGCATAGGCTGCTTGGGAATACGATCCCTTCGAAGAAGGTTTGCCTTTGCCATAACCCTTGCCTGACGACTTGCCATGCTGTTGAGGATTACCACGTCCTGTCCAGGATCGTGACCCTTCTCGCAAGTGAGTGCCACTGTAGTTCTCGATCAGCACCTTGCCAACACCTTCAAAATCCTTAGTGTCTGCACAGGCCTTCACAACGAGGATCTCCTGTCGATTGAGCCCACTCAACTCCAACATCAACTCTGTCCTCAAGCTGTCTGAAAACACCATTGTGTCATCCAACTCGCATAGCATGTGCCACCAACGTCGTCTCCTCTGAACATAGGAAAGCATGGGTTCGCCTGGTTGGCGAGACAAAGGACCACCTTGCTTCTGTCCTGCTCGAAATAATTCCTTGGCTTCCTCACGGGCTCTTGGAAACACATGGGATTTGATCTCACCCACAAGTTTCACAAGGCCACCAGGTTTGGACAACACTTCAAGTCCAAGATCCCTAGCTATTGAGAAAGCATCTCCTCTCAGTCCTTCAATCACCTTGTTAACCAATGGTCCACGATCAATGTCTGTCTTCTGCTTGCCGGACTTCGAGGATTTTCGGCTCGCTCCAGACTTCGGAGTCGAGACTGCTGATGTAGGCTGGGCTGCTTGAGTAGCACCCGACAAATCTGGAAAAGTAGCATACTCATCTGCATCTTCTGCGGCTGGCTCTGTTGCTGTGGTCCCAACGGGATCCGCAGGCTTACTTGTCTCCTCCTCCAATTGTTGCTCATAAAGACGAATCCGAAGGAGAGTCCTGAACTGCCAATCATGAAAGTTCGCCGCATCACCTGCATAGATGTATGATCCACTCTTCGTCTCAAGTGGTGCCGACGAATGGCGTTCCTGATTGAAACGAAGGCCATTGATCGACATGATGCTCGCTCCGTTCGGAGTCGAACAAGGAAAAACGTTAACAAGTGTCTGCCCTGGTCAGGGTCAGACAGATTCCCGAACCACGACACACTCGAAGTTCAGTTGATTCCCAAAGTTACCAGACTCAAATTCACAAAGGGTTCCCTGGGTCACTGACGTACCACCGGATGCAGGTCGTCACCTGCTCCGCTACCAATATGAATTGGAAACGGGATCGTCAAATGCCCAACTTTTACCACGGCAGCGCGGTATGACTCAAGGGCCCTAAAGCCAAATGTCAACGGGGGCATGTGATCACTTGGCTATACAAAATATACATTAGACAGGTCAAACTCACACTCGCATTACTGACTGCCAGATTGTGAATATGTGCAACATGTCAAGTCCTGTAACTCATGGGGAGGAAGAAAAATTCGAGGCGATCGTTCGTCAATTGATCCGTCCTAGCATTTCTCCGGCTCCGTCTGAAAAGTTTTTGTTGACTGAGAAATGTGATCGCTGAAAGGTATGATACTCATGTGTGCCGCAAACTTGTCCCAGTGTCTGACATTGAATGACCGAGAAGAGACACAGAAGCACTCGACATTCAACTGTGGGAGAAAAAAAAGTAGTGGGAAAACATAAAATAAATATATAAATAAATACAAATCGCATCATATCACATCACTCCACTACGTTCAGCTGTCAAAATTGTGATCAATCGGCGATTTTTTCAGTCCTCGATGAGTTTCTTTTTCAGAGATAAAATGGTGTCGCGTCCACGTAGTCCTTCGATGACCACCTGACGACATACTGGGACTGTGTTCCAGGCACTGACATCAAATTGCAGAATAGATCTGATAGCCGATAGCCTCAAGCAGGGAACTCCAAACGTATCTAGATATGATTATATTATGTATATGGATGTGCAGTATATGGTATAATATCCACTTTGGATCTGAAACCTGGCACTCCAGATACTCTCAAGTATATTCTTTCCGGATACAGCAATTTCATGTGTAATTTAAACAATAATAAGCCATAAGCCAACTTTTGCAGCGATTTCTATGATTGCATATGATTGCTATTTTTGCGCGTTCACATTGCCCTCCACGGCAGCGTGAGACATCGTGAGACTACTGTAAAGGATTGGCACCCAGGGGTGTTTAAGGATTGTTCGACAGCACCATCCCCTTGGGAGGCTATCCAAATCCAGGGTGCTGGCGCATCCCTCTGTGACCAGCTGTACATGTCACCAGGTTGAAACTCACAGCCTTCCTCTCCTTAGCTCAGCTCCAGGTGCACCTAGAAATGCCCGGAAACCTGGGACATCCTGGGACTAATGTCTTTTCGCACCCTTGACCTCTATGGCTCCTCTGAATTTCATCTTATTTCATATTATTTCATACCTTTGCGATGGTGCATCGCCACCCGACATCAAGAACATGTATAACATGTCAACCAGCTGCCCTGGCAGCATTTTGGCCAAAGCACACAATATTGAAGCACCTCTTCCTGAGCGCGGGCATGGTGCAAACTGGTGTCAAACCAGCCACGGCATGGTGTTGTGTTGAAGTCCTATGCATCCGAGGTTCGCGTAGACATACTCCTGCTTTCCGACTCGAGATTGCGCCAGCAAACGGTACAGGAAGCTCATGGCCTCCAGCAAACTTCTGAGCTGACACAAAGAAGTATACTTCATTATCTATCAAGATACACACACAACCAAAAAATATCAAAAAGAAGTGCATGAAAGTACTTCATTATCAAGTTGAGAAATGGCCAGTGTGCCTCTTATCCGTTTGCACTGAGGACTGTTGTGGTCTAAGCACACCATGCGCAACCCCCAACACCATGTCAGATGAATACAGTCCAAGCTGCAAACAAATTTGCCAACCAATAGCAACCGGCATTCAGCCAGCAGGGCATGTTCCTTGGCTACAACAAAGGTCGTGCCCAACATTTCTGCTTCGCGGTTTTGACCGTGAGCATTTTCCAGGTCGAGAGTCGGGTTGAAAACAGCAAAGCCAAAACACATGTTACATTTTGGAAGGCAGCGGCCAGGCAGGAGTTAGGGATCTTTCTCACGGATCTGTGTCCAACATTTGACATCACGTCTCCACCCAACATCTCTCAAAGCTCTGTAGCTTCGGCTGCACCGAACTTTGTATAACTTTATGACTAGGAGCCTTTGTGACCAAACTGCCAAACAACTCCCTACCCTGGAGGGCAGGTTTTCAGCATGGCTGCTGTCCTGGTGCGATGAATCACGATGTCTTGTGAAGGTACGACAGGAACATGGACTCAGGGGGCGTCTCTCAATTAATGACATCATATATACATATGACATATATATATATACATATATGACATCCATCCCAGGAAAAGAATGGAAAAGATTGAAACCAACTCCCTGTGAAACTTTGCGTCCTTTGATTCTGTGCGCCAACTTTCAGAGTTTGCCAGTGATCTGGTCTCCGTCCTGATACACATCGCGTCGGTGGAAGTTCTTCCAGCGGTTGTACTCAATGAGATAGTTGCTGCTGGAGAAATCCAGATCCAACTTTGTTTCCTGAGGTATGGAAACTTTATGAAACTTTGTTTCGCTGGCACGGGCATTTTATTAATAGTCAAAATGCTCCAAGATCTGTGGCTTTTCAAGTCACATCAGACCAATGACTGAGTATTTACTTTATATCCATGTCATTTCACGTCAATCCATCCTGCCTCAACACAGTTGTTCCATGTTTTTCTGGTGTAGCAAAGTCTCAATCTGCGTCTGTGTTGCCATGGTATTCGGAAGAAACTCGGAAGTCAAGTCCTCGGCCGCGTCACACATTGATCTCGAATCAAATGAATCCAAATCATGAATCGCATGAATGATGAATGATCTGAATGATGAATTAAAATTCAATACAATTCCAATATTTTGGAACTGCCCGATAAACGATCGATGCTCAGTCCTCTGAAGGAATGGTGCCAGAAGCACTAGCGGAATGAGTAATGACTTTCACTTGCTCAGTGTAGGTTTCAGTCTTTCCATCCTGCAGCTCAGGGTTAGCGCAGAGTCATATGAGTCATGTAACAATGTGTAACACTGATACAATCTGTAGATGTCCCTGCATTGCATCTTCAATCTCAAAATGCTTGGCAGAATCAATTCTCGAAAGGACTTTCGCAAAGAAAACATCAACTTGCATGCGGCATCATGCAGCGTTATGCCAATTATGGAATCGGAGTTTCACCAAAGCACATTCCATGTCTGGCACAAAACCCTTCACAAAGGATGACAAATGTGCTCCTTCCAAAATCGGTCAATTTACTCTAGCTTTATCCAGTTTCTGCAGGCCTTGTTTCTCCTCGTCCTCCTTTCCGTCCTATAGTGGTAACCTTAGCACTGCCAGCGGTTTCCAGCATTGATGATACTTGCTGATCGCCCGCGACAATCTTGGACAGAGGCCCCCACACTGGACATGCCAATTGTAGCGTGGGTTCTCATGACGCGGTTTGTCCATCAACAGCATGACCTGAAGTGCAACTCGGTTCAAGGATGTTCAAGGCAAACATGGGGGAACTAATTTCTGAATTACTAGGCCTTGCATGGCCTTGCATAGCATGATTCCGTGTCCCTTACATCTGAGGACCAGGCAGATTCAATGCCTTCGGTTTGATTCGCAAAGGCTCGGGTCAGACGAACACAGCAGGCCAGATGCACGATGTAGACGACGTATGCAAGGGCAGCAGGAATAAACATCATGGGTTCAAGCGCAATGTCCAAAAAGCATTCATCGATAAAAAACATGAAGAGGATAAAAAGAATGGTCGACCAAATCACGACTTCAAGGATGAAAGAGGTGAAGTAGCTGGCACAGTGCTCTTTGCAGGCATTCCTTGGCGGCCGCAGACAAAAAGGTGTCCCGCTCAAGGCATCGCTGATTCAAACCAATTAATTTAATTAGTACTGAAGAACTGCGACCAAGACATATGAAAAATGAGCGGATTACTTTACTTCGGGTGGTCCCCACCAACTGACCTGCATTTCAACATTTTATCATATTTTATCTGACATACTTCTGACAATTAGTTTGTTATCTGACATTGTTAAGACATTTCATCTTACATATATTCTGGCTCTCACTCACATATCTTATCTGACATTCTATCTGACAAATGTTCTGGCATTTCATCGTGCATTCGATCGAAGTTTTATCTAGCATTTTTTTCTGGTGTTCCATCTGGCATTTTATCTGGCATTCTATATGACGTTTTATCTTGCACTCTATCTGACATTTTTTTCTGGGGTTCTATCTCGCGTCTTGTCTGGCAATCTATCCGACAGAGATTCTTTCATTCTACGAGTACATATTCTACCTGGCAATCTATCTGACATTTCAGCTGGATAGTTCAGGTCCAGCAGGGTACAAAGGGTCTATGAGCTAGCCATTCTGTTCGCTTCCGGCAAAGCCACAGAGTCTGGGAGCTGGCAATGGTGTGAGGCGGTAGCAGGAGGAGGAGGACAGGAAAATGAGGAGGAAGAGGAGCAAGGTGTCATAAAATTCGGCAGGTGGGGAGTAATCCCTAATGATCCTGCCTGATCTTTGATGATCCCGCCTATCATCATTATATATCTGACCCTCGTTTTTTTTCAGTTGGACTGTGCTTTGTAACATGATTGTAACTGCAGCCTAGTTTCCTCTTCCCGAGTCCTCTGTCCTCTGCTCCAAGGTCTCGATCAATATGAGCCGTTGTACGACGCCCAAGGATGGAGACCACGGCTTCGTAGATCAGCGCATCAATCGGCACTTCTTTGCAACGCAGATGTGATCGGCCCAAGAGGAAAAGCACCTCCTGGACTGTGGGATGCATCTAACATCATCTAACAATGACCAGACTTTGGAACCAAGAGACTACGTGTCAACGTCTTTCGAGGGTAAAGACATAGATTTGAAATTGGGCTTTTTTGACGGGCCATTAGTCCATGAATGAAGATAGAACCTTTGCTTCTGCGGTTCCTTCTGGCACCAATTGACAAATAATACCAACGCAGCAGAACAGGATTGTCACTAGCTGCTAGATGGAGATTCAAGGGGTCTCCTCGTAGTCAATGTAATTTCCAGTAGGCGCAAACCGCTTGCTCACCACTGCAAAGTTGGAATCCTTCAAGTGCAAGTTCCACAGGAAGTTCCGGAATTCGCCAAGAGATACCAAGTTGTGCTTGCGCGCGCTCATCCCGACATATTGCCAACCAATGGCTCTTAAGGGTCCTGTTGTGCTTGCCCTGGACTTCGGAGAAGTTTGAGAAGCTGGTGACCTTTCAAGCCAAAGAACCCGCAGCACAGTGGACGTATCCGCGACCGCTGTGAAGTCCAAGGGGAAAGACTCTGAGCGACTAACTACAGAGACGTTGTGAGGCATGACATTGTCTTGGTGCAAACCTGGCTCAACAGAAAGAGAGAGATGGAAACAGCATCCCATCTGAGCTGATCTGAAAGAGTCTGAAAGCAGATATATGAAAGCATATCAAAAAGGAAGAAAATATATCTTCGTCCTGCAGGACTATGGCGGCAGCCGAGAAACGTTCAAGATCCCTGGGCAATGCAACATCCACCTCTGCTCCATTCACCTTGGTGATCCTTCCAATTTTGCCATTCAACTCAGGTCGATTGATCACAGCAGTGAGCTTCACGGCTTGCCCCACTTTCAAGCCGCGATTTGGTGCTTGGCCAACTCCCAGCAGCACGTGAGAGGATGCATCAAAGACCAGGTCACCAAAACGGCTGGCTGCTTGGTGACCAATGTCCAACCAAGTCTGTGAAGCTACAACCTGGCAAAGTGAACATCTACCTGAAAAGGACAACACATTTTGTGTCTGTGTAGGTCTATGAAATCTATGTGGGTATGGGTCAATACCTATAGATACATTTTTTAGTGGGATGAACATCCATTTACCAGCTATTTTGGGGTTCACTAGGTACCAGGGTTTTGACCCATCCCCATGTGTGTATCAAATGTTGCATCAAGTTTATTGCCTCCATCAGTCTTTTTGGATCTTTTTTTTGTGTACTTCCAACTCTAGGCAGATCAGGTTGTCGTCTGGGGTGTTACAACTCTCAACAAACGCACGTGACCATTTCGCTAGATAATACATGATAATACTGTAAGTTTACTGAGTTTGCTGATTTGCAAAGTTGCAGTGAAAGTGAAATACGGACATGACCTATGTCAAATGTCGCAGCCAAAGTTCAGAAATGTTGGCCACTTTTCCATCGAAACGGATGACCTCATTCAACATGGCAGGGGATCAATGGCGCAACATTTGCGGAGCCGTTGAACTTGTTGGGAGGCAAGGTCGGGTTGTGTGTGACATCACCTTCACCATGTTCGCATATAAACTGCCAGCATCTGCCAGCAATCTTACGCCTATCACAACAACCACTGATCCTCAAAGCTTAAATCAATGCAGCCGTATCTTCTCTGCCCAGAAACCATCAATTGACTCGTTAGCGCTTGTGCTGCTTGTGCAGCCCCCGTGTCTGGAGGTGCACTTGGAATGCATTCAGCCCATGGCCTCGCAAATCCGTGGTCTATACCGATGTCTCCACATGGCTTTGATTGAAAATGGTGTATATCATTGTATACCCCAAAATCCACTGGTTGAGTGTTGAGTCTGATTCATCATCATTTTTCACCATGTTCCCATACTTTCCCCATCAAATAACCATGAATTGGGGGGTAACTAAAATCCTATCATCCCATAGCAATTAACTAAAATCCTATCATCCCATAGCAAAGGTCGTGCAGCCAAAGAACCCATCTGTGGTCGTCAAGCTTTCAGGGTCCAGGATCAATTGTCGCTCATAGGCCTCCCGCATCAACAAGCCTCCGCCTGCCTCGAGCCATCACTCTGTCGTCTCATGAGAACATGACATTCAGGTGGTACCAGTTGAAACCGCAAATCCATTATTGTCACTATGCGTTGCTCTCAAAAAGAGCTGTCGTGCCAGCCGCAAAGGCTTTGTCCTGCGTTTCTTCTGATGTCTTGCTGTGACGTACCACTCCATTCATTATCAAACATATAAAACTAAACTGACTGATGGTTTAGTGGTTCCTTGACCATTCCTTGAGCTCTATTGCAGTCCCTGACCCCGGGCATTCCCGGCGAAAGCTGCGGGGAAGGGACTGCGGATGTCGCGATCTCCCGCATCTGTTCTGTCCAAACCACCTTTCCAGCTGTTGCAGTGCGGAATTGTCCTCGGTTTGCAGCTGACATGGCAGGAACTGTTCCTCTCTGCGCTAGGATCAGAGCTAGGATCACATTCATCAGCTCAATAAGTGAAGAAATTGTTGAAATGATATCATCATATATTATCATATGTATATTATATATATATATATATATTATCATATATTATCATATATTATCATATATTATCATATATTATCATATATTATCATATATTATCATATATTATCATATATCATCATATATCATCATATGTTATCATATATTATCATATCTCACCACAGCAGTGTAGTCTTCCACAGAAAATCAGGCAACCCGGCAACCCGGCAACCCATGGCGTCTTTTCTGTCGATGCCCTTGAGTCACTAAATTAAATGACATGTTTCTCAAAGCTTGCTCCGTGGGCAAATCTGAAGACCCTTGAGGTAGCCTGAGTGCAACGTGGCCAGAGGCAAGTCAAACAACGAAGAGAGTGTTACATGGTGTTACACATGGTTGCTTTCTTTGTGTGATTCTTCTGAGAAATCAACCATCAACATTACCCTCCAGTAAATTAACATAGGCCCTGCCAGTTGTAGGGCTTGAAAGACTAGTTTCCACTATAAATTGGTTAGTTTCAGGGTCCAACTGTTAATTTACCAGAGGGTATCAACCATCAACCATCAAAAACCCAGAAAGAAATCAGAAACCCATTGCCCATGAGGATCGATCCAGGACCATGCTTTGCCTCCCTTGATCTGGATGTGTTGGCTCTGGTCCTGCCACCTGCAAAAAAAACATCAAGTATAAATATAACCTATATAAATAACTTATTAATAATCTTCAATAAGTATATTTTAAAAAAATAAAGAAAAAAATATTTTTAAAAACAACAATCCTTGTGGTTTATGATGGAATTCCAGTAGAGGCTTCACTTTCGCCGAGTGGCGAGGTCAGGAGCTGTTGAAATTCTGATGGGCTCAGCACCTCATGGCGGCGGCACAGCGGAGCGAAAATGTCACGGCTAATCGGTTTGTCCAAACAATATACATATATTACAATTATTATATATATAATATCATATATATATATATTATATTATAATATCATAAATATAATATCATGTGTGTATATACTATACTGCATTCTCATGTATTATAATGTTGTATATACGTAATAAATCGTAATCATAATGATCATCATTGTCGTTGTCGTACACACAATGACTCTTGCTAATACTACAATAAACAACTTTAATCAAAGTAAATGGAGACCTTTCGCGTCAGCAGAAATTTGGATTCTCTTGTAATAGGCAAACTAGATCAAACTAGGGCTTCCAAGCCACAAAAAAGAACTTCTTTTTTCTAGACACATACCATACTCAATTGCGTCACCAACTCAGTGAACGATGTTTCTGAGTGCAGGATGTGGCAGCACATTAAGCCATCAACCAGCTTGGTGGTTTGCAACCCATCCTTAAAGGGTGATCGTACACTGCATCCACCTGACGCCATACACCAAGGCAACTCAGGAACAGAGGTAATCTCCTTACGGTTTTTGCAAACCAAGTTGTTTATACGGTTCACTACACAGAAAAATGTAACACTCTCTATATATATTATCCTCAACGTTTGGTATCCACATGTATCCTGTCTCCACGACATCCTCCATTCAGCACCAGCACCTCTGGTGGGGCGGATGGATGTATCTCTTCGAATGCCGGGGCAGATGCATGGTAATCCCCGTTGTCCCCATGGCCATGACCTTCCTCGAGCCTGAGGCGGTGAGCTGTCCCCCCGGAAGCTAGATTTGCTGCGCTTTCTTTCGTGGATGTGTTTTTTCAGGGGCACCATGCCAAGTAAAGAATTCCTATAACTATGGAAAATCACCATTTATAGTGGATTTTCCCATGAAAATGGTGGATCTTTCCATGATTTTCCATGATTTTCCATAGTTTTTTTCTATACCAACAGATACCAACAGTCTTTCAGAATGCATTCACGTTGTACAAGTTGTTCGCTGATTTGCTGCGGAGATTTGCATCCAATGAATCCAATGCACGCTGCTTCCAGCAAGGGGGTTCCACCGGCATTCGGCACAGCTGGCATGGCAGCAGGCACCGACGAAGTGCTGAAAAGTGCTTGCGATGGGAGGAAAAACGAAATCTGTGTGTCTGTCAAACGGCAAAATAACATGCAGGATCATGCAGGTATATGACAGCTTGACCATTTAGTGCACTGCACAGTTTCACAGCAAATATCACAAACGGTCAAATGATGTCAAATGTCACCTACTTCACATTCGATGAGCACTAGGTTCTTTGAATGATGTTTTGAATGGCAACCACCGGTCTAGCAACGGTCATCTTGGTTGGCGATGACTGTGCTTCAATAGACCACAAGATCTTGGACTGAACAATAAGTCCTCGATCACGATGCATGCCTTTGCTTGCACGAACCACTAAGTATCTACCGTGTTGATACAAATGTCTATCTCATCTAGGATGATATTGCTTTGAGATACGTTTAGATTTATCTAATGCCATGCCCACAGGCAACACACTTCCCAGATGCACCTTTTTTTCGAAGACAGTGGTCTCGTCAATGGTAAGATTCTGCGTGGGGCCCTCAGCATCGAAGAACATCTGTCATGTGACTCCTCTTGCATTCGATGGTTTTGGATCATGTATGATCATGTATGATAATGTTATCTGGTAGGACCTGGTAGGATTGAGATTATGATAATCATGAATCATGAAGCTTCAAAGTAGGAAAGACATATTGGAGGGGCCACATAGTGTAGAGGCTGTAGAGGCGATCTGAAACCATTGATCCCGTGACCTTGTTGTGACATCATGGAGAAACTAGTTGATGATGTTTGATGTGTCTGATGCTCATGCACTGAGATTAGGACAAGGATTCGGACCTCATATCATCGCATCATATCGCATCACTTTTTCCATGGCACAAGAATCGCTTCTCAGTTTATGCATGATCAAATTGGGTCTCGAGGTTGACTCTAACCCGCTCATACCCGTACCATCCCATACCATCCCATACCATCGAAGTTGCTCAGCATCCAGCGACCACGGGAGGTAGAAACTCTTTGGATTTCGCATGCTCCACCGCAAGGCTGTCAACAATCCTGGGTGGAGCCACGGAACCAATCTGGCCACGGCAGCCACGGCAGCCATGGCAGCCATGGCAGCCATGTTTGAGATTGGTTCTTTGGGTTCCCACTTTTGACATGTGTGTGCAACTGGATGATACTGGATGTGCTTGGTAAAAAAGTGGCCAAATGACTTCTAGGTCTTCTGGTGCCCTTAGGCCACTGGCCTCTTGTTTGCGTCAGAGACAGCTTGATAGGATGGCCGTTCTTCTTTGGCCTTCAACAGCGCGGCCGCGTCAGATTGGTTCAGAATATCCTGGTTGTCAATCCACATTCAGGACATCTAAGGACAACACCCAAATCCTCTTAGCTTCACCATTCGTAACCAAGGTCCTCAGTTCAGTACTTACAAAGCTGGCATTTTGGTATGGTAAAAACTGTGGCATATGAAACTTGAATGGCTCTTAGCAGCACCAGCCAGGAATTTCAAGTTTCGACCTATTGCGGCGAGATCATGGAGGCATGGGCCAAATTCTCAAGCAACCCCGTAAGCTTCGAGGGTGCTGCACGTCTCAGCAGGGCTTTGTAGTAAAAATCAGCAGCCCAAACTATCCCCAAGCCACATGTTCATCTCCAAGTAAACTGCTTGTATATAAAGCTTCTCTCCAAGCTGTGTCCCCAAGCCAACCGGGTTTCAATCTTCAAATCCCAAGTCCACTTGTATATATAAATATATAAATCATCTAAGTCCAAGCTCCATGAGTTTCTAGTTCTTCCAGTTTTCCCCAAAAGTGCAGCTTCTCACTTCTCACACACACACAATGTTCCATACTGTTCCGCTCAGCCACTCAATGGGTTTCTTACGTTCAAGGAGTTCTCGAAACCTCAGAAACGGCTACTTACTTGGGATCACAAATTCTATCATTGGACCTGATGGATTCCAGCCATTCCTGATGGGATGAACATATGAACAGTACTTCAGGATGTGACATGCTATGCAAGTCAACGCATGTTTCCGGATTGCTAGTTTGACCATGTTTGACCTTTGGCTAGCCAATACTGAGAGATAATGAAACGAATACCTCGTGTTTGTGTCTTTGTGTCTTTGCATGCGTGGAATGGTCCTGAGAATCTCACCCTCTGCTTAGTCCCTTGTAGCCACTTTCCTGCCACAATCACCAACGAACAGCTGGATCCCATGGATCATGCAAACCTCTCGTGGGCGTGGTAGCCGTTCTCTCTGGATTTGCACTATGTATGAGAAATGGTGTCCCAAAAATCTGATGGGTTGTCATCATTGTTCCATATTGTTCCCATAAAAATTGCATAAAATGGCCATGGTATGGTGACCGGTGGTATCCCCCTTTTTCAGACCCCAATTTCGAACAGCCTGGGATGTCTCCATGGCCATCTCGCAGCATCAAAAAATCTAGTCTCGCCGCGTAAACGCTGTTCTGGTAGAATACAGTACAAGGGATGCAGCACACTCCAACACCAGCAATAACGAATTGCAATTCGCCTGGTATCTAGTCCGATAAGTCCACAATGGTTCCAGCATGCAGTTTGTTTTTTGGTGGGTCACTAAGCAGTCTGGTCTCAGCCAACCATTCAAAAAGAAGGATTGTTGAGAATACAGTTGTCCTAGAAGCCTTGCTCTTTGAACCCAAGCTCTTTGAACCCAAGCTCTTTGAACCCAACCCTAAAACACTGTTGATGCAGTGCTCAATATTTTCCTTAAATGTACAGAGTCATACCTTTCAGACCTTTGGTCGTTGAGCGGATCGCCTTTGGGCGTAGGGGATTGGAGCTGCCAGACTGCCAAGCTATCGCAAATGTACGAAACAATGTGAAACCTCTATTTTTTCAGTTCGGAAGATGTACGTGATCTGAACGTTCACATTTCACTTGATTCTGGGAGATAGATTTGTATAGATATCAAATAAATTCATCAATGTAAACCATACTATATATATTGTATGTCCATTGGAACTTGAAGGCACCAAACACTCCAACTGGCCTGGGGTTAGCACCTAGAGCTACCAGGTATCCAGAGCCTAGCTACCAATCCTGTGAAAAATCGCCAGGCTCCAGCGTTTGCTGGAAGCAAAAAAACAACAGCAGCGCACTGCTTCCCATTACACATTTCCTACCGTGGCAAATGTTGGATCGTTGACAGAAGATTGGCACCTCATGCAAGAGGTTGAAAAGATGGAAAACAATGGAAAACATATCTGTGCAATGCTTTGCATATCTTTGCATGTTGAGATTCTGTCTTCATCGTCCATGCTAGTTCATTGTCAAATCCCAAACAAGATTTGATGGAATTTGCCACAAGGAGGAGTATCAATTTCCAAATTTAAATGGAGGCTGCCAGCCTTGGAATCTCATCCGATCTGTACACTGTACATTGACATTGGGTTGAAGGTGGCTGAACATGGTTGAGCTACCTCAGGCAAAGCCATTCACCTGAATTCTCGCAGGCGGGTCTCTGCACAAACCAAAACTGGCTATGTCAAAAGAGTTGCCCGACTTCGCTATTCTTGTTTCAAAGAAAAGATTTGAGACTTTGCAGTTCGCGCATTACATCAAAGGAGCCTGCAGAGTTAGGGGTCCAGAGGGGATTAACCGAAACATGTTAACTCAGTTGTAACTATTTGCCAAGGCTTTTCAGCTGTCGGGTTTTTGATTTGCTGTGTCTTGCATGATCGGGACGAAACAACTGCGGACAACTTGATGATCGAAGGAATTCGAGGAACATGCAGAGTCGTATCATCAATATCAGAACACTCCATTCTTGGCTTGGCACGATCTCATCATCCAGATCTTCTTCACTGAAGGCTTTTGTTGCAACCTCGGACGTCTGAAGACCTACTGGTGGAGGAAAAAAAACAGCAAACACACCCGAGTCTGCTCTAATTAGATTAATATATACTAGTAGTAGGAACAGAAAATGACATAGATGTCCCACAGCTAGTTCTACTCATGGAACCTTGCCTTTGAGTCCGTGAAAAGCTAAGGATATCCCAAACTCATCCAAAAGCGACGTCAACACTGGCCAGCAAGGCCCCGCCGAGTGGACTCTCAGGTGGAGTTCTCAGTTTACCTCGCAATCCAGCGCTGGCTAGGCTGCGACATTTTCAGGCTTGGCTTTGGCTCAACAATGGGGGTACTAAAGGGTCCGCTAATATATGGCTCCTATTAGATCAGCGAATTTTGGTCCATAATTTTGAGACCCTTTGAGCCATACGCAGCTCGGAACTGCAAAATTATCTTAATCAACTGGGAGGCTTGACTGGATGAAAATACAGTGGCTTCCTTCCATATCAAACAACTCTACTTAGGCAACAATCTGCAACATGGTTTCCATAGTTCGAAGGATGAGGAACCTGACAGTTGACAAATGTTGACAAGGTCCTGGTCACTACCAGCCGGTCTCAATGGTGTGGTGATAAATTTCTTCATTGCCACGGTGCTTCTACATGCCTTCCATTCTCTTCCATGATTCTGAGACACAAACGTGGAGGCTTCTTGAAGTGGTGTGGTCGTGAAGTGCCCTGCCAGCATTTGGCAGAAATTTCAAGATCAACTTTCGCAGCGTTCTGGGGGCAGAATGAGGTAAGCTGTGGGGGTGATTTGTAGTACAGAGTAGTATTGGTAGTACATTGCAGTACCGAGAAGTACTTTCCAGTGGAAACCTGGATCGTGTAGTGCTCAGTGCTAAATATTCTAAGGTGCCCAGAACCTGTACGAGTTGCCGCAAATCCAGCAGTCAACTAGTCCATCAAGCAATCACGTACCGATCTATATTGTTTGCATGTAATTAGCTGACGAGACAATTACATCACCAAGCCGCATCAATAAACCAAAGGGGTTAGCCAAAGGACGGACATCGAGATAATGAAGAGGCTTTGAAGATACTGTGACTGTAGTGTAGGCCGAGACTGTAGTGTAGGCAATATTGCAGGGTAAGCCGAAGTTGGAAACGTTTCATACTATACAGCAGAGAACATTCAAGTCATGCAAGATGGGTGGTAAGTTTAGCTGTTGATGATGCAAAAGCAAAACAACGTGCAAAACATCGATCTTGTTGATCTTATTTGATCTTGTTGTAGGGTAGGCCACAGGGCAAACTCTCATCGCCCATCTGCGCCTCCTCGAAGCTTCGATTTCCAGGAAGCATTTCAATGGCCTGCATGGCAAAGAAGAGATCGGAGAGCTCCGTGTCGTCATCCTGGAGATGTTTGGATGAAACCCCTCGAAGATCCAAAATGGGTTGACATGTTGAACAATTTTGGTATTTTGCTAAGGTTGAATATATCTAACTATACAATATCACATGTAATGTATATATTGAATGGTTTACAATGGAAGATCCTATAAAATAGATGATTTCGGGTACCTCCATTTTAGGAAACCTCCATATTGATTGGGAATCAAATACGTACAATTGGCATTACCGCCGCACTGGAGACCAAGTGAGAACGATGAAAGCATGCTCCATGCGATGAGAAAAACACCCTGAGATAAACCATTGGTGGAAAAAAACAAAAAAAAAAACTATCGATGGATTGGTGAAATGGCAAATTTACACGGACACCATACCTTCCATTCCCAAAATCGAAGGTTTCTTCTCAAGTTTCTCTCTGACTATGTATATATGTATATATATAGAATAACAATAATAATAAATTAACAATTGTTTATATCATATGATATCATACTGTAATGTAAAATGTATATTATATTAATATATAATTATATATATACATTGTATTCTTGATGACCCACCAAAATGTCTTGTGCCAAAACACATCAAAACACCATCCAATTTGGGTCTAATCATTTCGAGCCCTAGCGAGGTGCAGCATCCTCGTCTTCTGTGAAGTTGCCGGCCAGCTCATTCATGGCACGAACAAACTCTTCTGCATAGGACCTGGCCAGTAATCAATGGCAAAATATGTAATCATTCGTGATTCATAGACAATAACAGTTGCTTTTGGGGGTCAGATAGATAAAATATGTTAAAATTATTATATATATATATATATATATAATATGACACTGCATTCCTCTTCTCAGTGCAACAATCCTTTTCGGGGTTGCGCAGATACCAGTCGTTCGTAAATCTCACATGACATCTTGTCACGTGAGTTGCTAGCGCCATTCCCCGGAGGTGATAGGGGTTGGATGGTGGGCGAAAACGCGAAGGAGAGGCCTTGGGCCTAAACATCATCGTCATTCCATGTCGTTATCATGCTTTGCATGTATCACGACACTGCATTCCTCTTCTCAGTGCAACAATCCTTTTCGGGGTTGCGCAGATACCAGTCGTTCGTAAATCTCACATGACATCTTGTCACGTGAGTTGCTAGCGCCATTCCCCCACTTTAGACGCTAGCTTCACGTGTCTCCTTCGGAGTCCACTTCTTACCACGGGTCTTTCCACTTTGTCTCACCTCTTTTGACTTTAGTGTCTTTTCCGCTAAAGTCTTTTACCTCTTTCGAGGTTTTGGCGAGCTTGACCTCGGAGTCCAGTTCTCTGGCTTTGGCCATGAGCTCGTCCAACACTAGCCACTTGAGGTCCTTGAAGTCGACCTGGATCCTCTTCGACCCTGAGAAACCGTCGAAGATACCATTCGTCAGGCTGTCCGCCGGGGTGTTTTGATCCCTGGGCACCCATCCCAGATCCAATTCCAGCCCAGCTGACTTCAGCTGGGTTGCTAATTCCAGAAGAATTACTGACAAAGGGAATTTGGAGGTCAGGAACTTCTTCAGGACGTAGGTGTTGGAAACATTGTCCGTGAAGGCGGTCAGTTTCAGGATCGCACGCCTGCCCTTCCATAACTCGTCTACGCAAAACAGCTTGACGGCCACCAACACCGCGGTGAGCTCCAGTGCAGCAATAGCTCTAAACGGCTCGCCCTTCACGAAGGCCCAAGGTGCCGACCTTCTGTCCAACTCTATGGAAAACCACCTCGCCTCGGAGGTGTCGGAGCTTCCAAGCGACTCCCAGCCACCGATGACCACCTTTTCTCCCTCAGCCTTGGCGTCGATTCGGAAAGCCTCTATGGCCTGTCTTTCCACTGCTCTCACCTTGACCATGGGATCTCCTTCTATCTGCTTCTTGACATAGGTGAGGAGGAGACTAACCGCCTCAGGCATCTTCGCGTACACACCGCCCCTGAGCACGGCTGACCACGCGAATATCGGCCCAAGGAATGGCCTGACGTGATGCAGCGCACCCGCCACAAAGACCAGCCTGCCTAGCGCTGATCTCAGATTTCTCCCCATCACTCCCCCCGACTCCAGATGGGTGGTGATCCAATCCGCCACCCATTTCACCTTCCTCGGGGAGATACCCTTTTCGAATCGGTCCGCGTCCAAATCATAACCGATCCATTGCACCTTCGTGCCACCATTTACCTTTGCCCAGCTCAAAGGTATCTCCATCATCTCCAGCACGAACAACCAGAAGAGCATGGGCTTCCAATAATATTTCCCCACGCTAACCATCCACCCATCGTCCGCGAAGAGGAGGTGCAAAAGCCCCAGATCTCTTCCGCAGAGCCGGTGAGCGGACCTCACTGCTACCGCGGCCACCCTTTGCCAGTGGTAGGCTGCCGAGGCGATCCCAAACGTACCTCTGGTGTGCACATAGACCCCGTCTTTTCTTCTCTCTCCAGGCAGCCTGAAGGCTTGCAATCCCCAGTCTTTCTCCTTGACTGGTATCAACTTGTGGGCCCCTTTAACGTCGTATACCAACGTCGCCCTGGGGCCCCCCATTCCTTTTCCCGCAACTTCTTCAGCTTCCAGCAGCACGGCCGACGCGTCGTCGATCAGCGGAAACCGCATCCGGTCACGCACTTTGATCCTCCGGTTCACATCGACGGAGTATGAGCCGTCATGTATCAGCCTAACCCTGTCCGAGTTGAGCTCCTTGGGCACGGCTCCAAGCGCGGCCACCGCCAGCCGCTCCCCAAACTTTTCTTTCGCCTCCTCTTCTGACAACCTCATTATTGTCCCGGAGGCGACCTCCTCATCCACCTGCCTCCAAATATCTTCTTTGCACTCCTCTGCTGAGGAGTAATTTTCCGCCCAGACCTGTCTCAGGTCTTCCTCTGTAAACTCTCGCGCCCATTTGAGCTTCTCCTCGAAAACGCCGGGCACTCGAGGCATCTCCTCATCGACCCCCAGCGAGACACCGTCTGCCGCGATTTCCTCCAGGAACTCGCAATCCTCATCACCTAGTGCCCTGCCGATGCTTCTGAGCCTCCTGAAGTTGATCTCAGAGGTCCTATCCCCACCTCTACGCGCTGGGTCCTCCCCGTGCTTCATCAACTCCCTATCAATGGCCGCTCTCGCTCCCCCCAAATGACTCTTGAAAGGAGATTCCACCGCTCGACCCCCTGCAAGCTTCCAGAAGACGCCTTTGCCACCGTCCCCTGTAGTCAGCAGCCATTTCAAGAATTCCCTCCGAAATACCGAGCTTATCGCCAGTGCTGTTTCGCCTGCTGGTGCCTTCCGACACTTCACTGGCCACCTCCCGGGGGAGCACAATCCCCCTCCATCATGCACCATCCTGTGCTTCCCCTTGTAATAGGCGAGCAAAGGACGTCTCCCCATCCAATCCATGTCAACTGTCCCTAGCTCCCCGGTTGACTCCTTCCCCGGCCCTCCGTCCTTGGGAAGAACCTTCTCCGATACCTCAGGTGCCCGACCTGCACCTGAGCTTGAAACCTCTCGTGAAACCGATTCCTCGAGGGTTACCAAAACCCCCGAGCTCCCAGCCTTATGTGAAACTGCATCCTCAGGGGCCTTTATTGCCCTTGAGCCATCAAGTGAAACCCTATCCTCAGAGGCTTCTGATACCCCTGAGTCCTTACCCGCCGTTTTGGCTTTCCCAGGGTTTTCCACCACCCCTGGGTCCCGCCCTGAAGCCATTTTCGCTTCAGGTCCCCTCTTGCTACCATCTATGCTTTCTTGCCGGCCCCCTTCCGAAGGAGAAGACAGCATAGATTTCAGAGCCAGTACCACTGCTTGAGCCAGAGATTCATCCATCTGAGCAGGGTAAGCCGATGTGCCTGTTGTTCTAAACGATTCTGAGTTGCTTCTTTTAGCAAGAGTGATTCTAGTTTGGCAGCCGCAAGACCGAATGGGCCCCAAATAAGCATTGGCTTCATCAAACTGAGGCCAACCTGAATACCCCCAAGACTGCAACCCAGGAATGTTAGAAATGATGCGAGTGGGTTTCTTATAGGGGGCCCCAAAACAACATTGATTGAAACCCACGGTAAACAGGCCTAAATCTAACTGCAGCAAGCTTCGCACACTTTCCGACTGCCAAATCGAAGCAGGGTCGAGTTGCAAATTGTCCTCTTCCCTGTACACTCGCCCCAGATCTTCCGGGTGCTCTGAGAAGAGCAGGACGAGCTTCCGGACCAACTGTTTGGCTTGTGCTGCAGCTCTGTAGCACTCCTCCATGACTTCCACGAGCCGATTCCCCAACTCGGCTTGTTTTCTCAACTCCTCCCTCAGCCAGGGAAACCCTTTTGGGTGCTGCTTGGACCTAATTGGGGGCGGCCCCCGCTTGTTGGCGCACCTTGCTCTGGTGAAGGTGGAGCAAGGAGGAGTGACCAGCACCACATCATAAATTCCTGACTGGATTTGTTGCATCCAGCCAGCTTTCACTGCTTGCTTCGCGAGGTCGTGCTTGCTGTCATTCATGATGTCGACCTCCGTGACCTGGACCCGCAACCCATGCTTCTGCACCATCCCTGCGAAAGATGTCTCTCGACTCTTTCCTGAAAACAAGTACAGAATTTTGAAAACACGAGTGGCCCCTGCGGTGCCCTTCTCCACCGGGGCAGGGCCATGCCCCGGCTCAAGGCGCCGTCACTTGGCGCCGGAGGCGCCCTCTTGCTCTCCGGCCGTGTCCTTCTTAGTCTGCTTGCACATGTGGAGTGGATGCTCCGAAGAGAGGCACCTTTGGCACACATGTACCCGCCCGCACTTGAAGCGGCATCTCTCCTTCATGGAATTCCAGCGGAAGCATATCTGCCTCCCATCGGGTGTGTGCGTGTGTAGATTTTCTCTCCCCTTCTTTCCTTTTCCTTTCCCCTTGTTGCGGCTGGGATTCCAGCCCTTGTCGCCGGAACGCCTGTCTGCCCTAGGAGATCGAGAACGATCCTTCTTGTGAGCCGTCAGCGCGTTCATGGCTGCAGGGGTCAGGAAGTAGCGCTCCTTGATGTTGACGTCCTTTCTGGCTGCCAGCAGGGCGTCGTGGACTTTGGTCCCATCATTGATCTTCTTGACCATCTCCTTGCGCACCTGATGCTCGTAGGACAGCACCAGCTTCAGGCTCGGTGAGCTTATCTGGTTGCCGTCCTCATCCTCTGCTTTGAGACCCATAACCTGGTCGCTGAGCAGGTAGTCCACGTAGTTGAGGAAGTCCTGCGGCACCAAGTCGGCAAAGATGGTCCGCTGTGGATACTTCAGCCCACACATCAAGAAGGCGTGTGCCACCACCCTAAGACGGTGGCGCAGTTCCTCCGGAGAGGTGGGCTCCTTGGTCTCTCCGTAGCCCTTCTTGATCTTGAGTACACCTGACTTGTCCAGCATGCATCCCACAGGTTCCACCTCTGCGTCCTCCCTGGACAAGAACTGCTGGAGATACATGGTCTTCAGCTCACCGTTCTCCACTTGGTCAAACAGCAACTCCAGTGTTGATGCCGCTGGAGTCAACTTGTCATCCAACTTGTAAAAGGCTGCTTCAAACTTCTTGACCAAGTCTTGAACCTCCACCTTTGGAAGTGAGATAGGCAGAGAGGAGCTGGACGCCTCTGCCTCAGCCTTATGCCTCACTTCCATTCTGACCTTGGCTCCCTCCCAAGCGTCAACCAATGCCGCCACCTCTATCACGTCGGCAGCCGGATCCAGCTGCACTGTCTGTTGCGCAAAGGTCCTCAGCTGCACCCTGCTATCCGCAACTGAGTTGAACCGGCTCAGGCTCTTACAGTTGGCGTATGCCAATCTAGCCTGAGTCACTGCAGAGACCTCCTTCCTCTGCAGTAAGCCATGAAAGTCCGGCTCCAGAAGGCCGATGAATTCCTTCTGGACTTCAGCATCTGTAAAGTCTGGCGGGGGTGCGTTCATCTCGCCCACCAGACCACCGCTTGAGGAGCAAAACGGCTGCGTGCATGAAATAATAAAACATGCAAAACATCAAAACTGCAAACACGGAGTGGTACGTCAAGTCCAGCACAAACCGACCACCCCTTTCTCATTTTGCTGCCAACTCCTGTTAGAGTGACTCCGACGAGCTGGAGGAGATTTCCTCGTCGGATCCAGAGCCGTCGCTCCCTGACTCGTCCGCGCTCTTCACGGCTTTCGGGAAGCATACCCGGCAGGCTCTATGGTACATCTTCGCCTTTGGCAACTCACTCCCAAAGGACTCAAACACCCGGTAATGTACTCCAGGCTGTCGATAACACTCACCGTACCTGTGCAGGGTCTTCGTCTTGGCCCTGCCGATGATGCTCACCACATAGTCTCCCAAAACTAGGCCCGTGTTCTTCTTGGTGGCAGCATCAATCACAACCCAATCCTCGTCCTCGTCGGCAGACGACTCGGACGCTTCGTTGCCATGGGACCCCTGTGGCATGGCCGCTGCCGCGTCCTCTGACCAATTGACTCGTTTCAATGGTCTTCCCACGGTCACGAAGCACTCCAGCTTTTCCCTCTGGACTCCAACCACCCTCATATGATAGCCCAGGGCTAACATCCTGTCCTCCACCAGCTGCAAAACCACGTTTTCTCCAAAGGGGTCCACGCGGCCGATGTTCTTTCTGATGAACTCCGCCACGTGTATTTGCGCACGCACTACCTGCGCCGCAATTGACCTATCATACGACTGGTCCACAGAGGGTGTCCAGCGTCCCAACATCTTGCAGACGGCCTCAGGCACACCGGCTGCTCCTGCCCATGTTCTCATTGTCACTCTTTCCGAGTGTTCCGACCAAATGCATCCCACGCCAATCTCCATGAGATGCTCCCACCCTCCTGTGCAAGGACACAGGAGCTCTTGGAACAGGGCCTGGCTCATCCCACTGGCGGCGGGATATGTGGCCATCCTCCTTGAGGAGTGCTCCAATCCCGTCGTAGGCAACGTCAGCAGGAAGTCCCTCTCCCTGCAACCAGCCTCCTCTGAGAGCGCTTCCCAGATCCGCCATCCGGTCTCCATCCAATCGCGCTCCTCGATGTAGGCCTCCGCACTGACGATGAGCTTCAGCACCGAAATCCTCTTTCCTGGCCCGCTTGTCTTGGTGCGAGTCAGATCCGCCACAAGGGCAAAACCGTCCAATCTCATGGATCCAAAGTCGACCCCAGTGGTGTCGTGAAACCTCATTGCGCCCCAGACCTTAACCAGCTTGTACCAAGCGAAAGCCCTGGTGAAGTGCGGTGCGCCCCGCTCCATAACTTTTCTCTCCAAAGCGGACACCATGGCGACCAACAGCTGAGCGGCTTGCTTTCTTGGCTTCTGATCCGCTGCTTCCAGACGGAGCTTAACCTCTTCCATGGCATTCTTGATTGCGCCCGAGGTGTTCAACTGGAGGTCCTTTGGAATCTCTGCCGCGTGCTCCATGAACACCAGTGTCTTGTAAGCATTCACTGGGATCGAGCGCCCACATGGTTCCAGAGCCCTGGAGATAAGGTAATCCGCAAACTGAAAGGGCCTCTCTTGCCACTTGACCCCATACGTAGCCAACAGCCACCCGATGAACTGGCCCCAGGTCTTGACGTGCTTTCTAAGAGTATTGGCACGTCTCCCCTTACCAATCCTGGCTGCAAAGAGCCCCTGATTGGCGTCGGAGACATCACAGGTGTCAGCCTCCTTGATCTGCTTGGCCAGCTCCTTCAGCCACCGATTCCTCTCCGCATCCTCTACCAGATTACGCTGATAGAGATCACTGCCAGCCGCCGATTTCAGCATCGTGGCTCTTGTGGGCCATTTCACCCTGGCGGCCTCGCCCTTTCTCCTCACCTGGCTCCCGATCTGTTCCTCACGGGCCTTTCTCCTGTCCGCGAGTTTGCCCTCCTGTTTTGCCAGGCGAGACGCTAGGGCCAAGTCTGAGTCCTTCAACTCCTCATGCCTAGCCCAAATGATGCATGAGGCCTCCTCGGCCGCCTGCACAAGGTTTTCGAACTCGACCGTGTTCACCTTGTACTCCGGGTATTTCTCTTCCACTCTGAGGATGACCGAGTCCACGACTTCCTGGTCGCATCCCCAGAGAGCTCCCAGCTTGGTGGTGGTCCACCCCATGGCCTTTAAGGCGTGAGCCAGCACGTGGTCAGCCCTCACCTTCCTGGCAAGAAAGGTGAGTTCCTCCATCGTGCTGCCCCCTTCCTGAAAACGCGAAGGAGAGGCCTTGGGCCTAAACATCATCGTCATTCCATGTCGTTATCATGCTTTGCATGTATCACATATATATAGCATATTACAGCATATTGTAGCAACTATAATTCTGAAATGTTCTGAACTATGATAGATAATTATTCGTGAATCGACATCTGTGTACCTATTATGATTATTGGTTGCGTCCAACATCCTCCAACCCCATTAAGACTTCAAAATGTTGCTCAGGCTTGACCGATCTTACTTCGATACTTGAGGCATAGCAGGCATAGTGGAGTTTGCTGAGAATCCGGGAATGTCTTGCTGTCATATCATGATAACCACGACCTGCGACCTGCGACCACTGGACACATCTGGAATCATCTGGATCTGGACACCTTAACAATTCCATGTGCGCGCTGAAGGACTGAGCCACTTCGTGGAACCTCAAACGGAAAGCTGAGCCAGGAATTACCACAATTGCTGCCGTCTAAAACCCTTCTAAAACCTTCTAACCTCACTAATGAAATGACTGACTAATGACTGACTAATGATAATGACTGACTGATGACCAGGAATGTTCACCGTAGCAAACCTGGAACGTGCAGAGCCACATGAGGTTTGATTCCCTCAGCTTCGGACTCATGAGCATCCAGTGCTATGATGGTTGATTCTGTTCGAGCGTACATCCTGACATTGACATTCTGAAAACCAAAGAAACCACAAAGATACTCCACACCAATTTGTAACTGTCAGTCTTCTACCTATCACTTGTTTCATCTTGTTTCTCTTATCCTCCTGTTACAATTCTCTTCCCAGTGTCCTGTTTCTTGCTAACATACCCCCATGTTTTTGGGGGGTTTTCAATCCATAGGGCTACACCCAAATAATCCGGCCTTCCCTGGTGGATCCAGGGTGTCCAAAGCACAGCCTGCCAAACGCGCACGTGCAAGGCTGCTGAGACCCAGCGAAAAAACACGTGGCTGCCTCCAGAAATACGGGACCTAGGCATCAAGAATGAGGGAAACACATGAAAAACAACTAGGGAAAGTTGGGTTGGAATATACAGTAATCCAACCCTATACCTGGTTTGCCTCAATGAAATCAATCGGCAAGTCTTGGAACACAATCCATGGCGCCAACTCTCGCGGAGATGGGTCCTGCTCGTAGGTCATTGGAATAGGGAACCAGGACGCCGGGGTGAACATATGATGCTATTGGATTCAAAGTCATCTACGGTCCACTTATGTCCACTTGGTCACCCTATGTCACCCTAAAATCCCTCTAAATTGTTAGCTGGACATGTAGGACTCCTCCATCATAGATCATTTCTCAGGGAAACTCATTGGTTTTCCATAGGTTTTCCATTGGTTTCCGGTTCCCCCAGGGTGACCATCACCAACGTGATCCGTGTCGCCTCACAGAAGAAGGTCCGGCGCTCCAGCTTTTCCGGATGTGATTCCTGGCCGTTTAAAACCTCTGGCTACGGTTGGATATGTGGATACAGTATATATGCATGAATATAGACCTGTTTTTTGGATATGTTTTTGTGCAAGTACTATACATAATATGTTGTATTGTATGTTCGTTGTGTATAATTATGCGCATATTGTTTAATTATGAACTATACTTATATGATCTTATATGTATATGTAATTATATATAATTATATATGTTATATCATAATATCGCAAAGAAAGGAAGGAGGAGCCAACTCTGGTTGGTGCTTGCTGGTTTCAACTCAGAAAATTAGTTTTTTCGCACGCTCATCGTCCAGGTAGGAAGTAAACTACCTGGAACACAGTGAAAAACCACCAGAATTGTATGGTAATGCACTGGTGGATAGATATAGATAGTTTCCACTATCAGAAACCTACTAGTCCCTACGAATCGATTGAGACAAGCAGCTGCAGCATGCTGCAACAGAAGTGGAAAACAAAGCAGAGCTGAAACCCTACAACTACAAAATCGCTACATAATTGGGTCATCTGGTTGTGGCTATATTATCAGTAGCATCTGGAATATCAACGTGTCAGCAAATCTCGAGCGTGACATTCTTCATCATACATATCCACCTACCTACCTTGCCTCGCCTTCCCTTATCTTATCTTATAGCACAGTAATTTACAAGTCTTTGCATTTCAATTATTTATTGAATTCAATGCCATACTAACTGTATACTGTATATACCAGTATGGCTCAGGAAACGAACCGTGAACCGGGAACCGAACCGTTCAAGAACCGGCAGGCTAAGAACCGGCACGAACCGAACCGCCAATTATTCTTACGCAAACCGAATGGGCACGAACCGAACCGCCAATTATTCTTACGCAAACCGAATGGAACCGAACCGGTTCCACATTCTCAAAAAAGTTATTTTGTCAGCTTCCGGGGGTTCCGAAAATGATTTTCACGAATTGAAAATCAAATTGGAAAGAGGAATCAACTGTAATGAATGGATTCCTGCGCAACATAATCTGCCAAAGTGCTGCAGGAATTGCAAATGATCAGTGCTGGCTGCTACTACTGCTACTACTGCTACTACTGAAACTACTGCTACTACTGCTACTACTGCTACTAAGAACTGTTGCTATTACTATTACTGTTGCTATCACCAGCACTACTGTTGTATATTATATTACTACCTCTATTACTAGCCTCTCTGCCCGTTCCTGTTCGGCAAAGCCCGGTCGGGACCCATACCTGCTGGGGAACCGCTTACGAGAGGCTACTATTTTTCTTCCTCGTAGTCTTACTAGAACTAGTATTACTTCTTTACTACTATTATTACTAATTCTACTTATCTTGCTGCTACTGCTACTGCTACTGCTACTGCTACTGCTACTGCTACTGCTACTACTACTGCTGCTACTACTACTGCTACTACTACTACTACTACTACTTTCTTTCACTTTTTGCCAAAACAACTCCGAAAATGATTTTCGCGCAGTGAAAATCAAGTTAAGGAAAACATCTCATAGTATTCGTCCTAGTACGGCTAGACTACTACTGCTGCTACTATTACTATTACTGATTACTGTTGCTATCACCACCCCTACTGTTGTATATTATATTGCTACCTCTATTACTAGCCTCTCTGCCCGGTCCTGTCCGGCGAAGCCCGGTCGGGACCCATACCTGCTGGGGAACCGCTTACGAGAGGCTACTATTTTTCTTACTCGTAGTCTTACTAGAACTAGTATTACTTCTTTACTACTATTAGTACTAATTCTACTTATATTGCTGCTACTGCTACTGCTACTGCTACTGCTACTACTACTACTACTACTCCTGCTACTACTACTACTACTACTACTAGTACTACTACTACTACTACTACTACTACTACTACTAGTACTACTACTACTACTAATACTACTACTACTGCTACTACAACTGTTTTCCACTTTTTGCCAAAACAACTCCGAAACTGATTTTCGCACAATGAAAATGATGTTTGGCTAATGTTTGGGTTTTGCAGGCACTGCCTCAATTTCGATGCCTGAAAACGACTTTCGCCATATGAAAATGGCATTTGGCTGCTGATTTAACCTCTGCCGGCCACGACTGGATTTCGACAGCTGAAAGTGATTTTCGCAAAATGAAAATGCCGTTGGCAATGGATCTGTCAATTTCACTGTACACTGGTTAGATGTACGAATTCTAATAGTTGATGATGATAATCATTACCCCCAATCCAAGAAACAGCATACGCAATTTAGTCATCAAAAAACCGTGGTTTTGGACACTGCTTACTTAGATGCTGCAAACACTCGGCCCCACCACCAGTTTCAAACATTCAAAAACCAAATCCCTCTGCTGCAACATAACATTACTATTTGCTATTCATCCACACCCATTCTGTCAAAGACCTCTCGTCCTGCAACACTACACAACACGAACCGAACCGAACCGAACCGCCATGTCAGACGAACCGAACCGAACCGAACCGCCATGTCACGCGAACCGAAACGAACCGGCCTGCTGATGAACCGAGCCGCCCCTATTTGAGGTTTCCACGAACCGAAACGATCCTAAACGAACCGAAGCCTTCCTGATATACGTATATATAAATATACACACACACGTAAATAATATATATATATATATATATGAATATATATATGATAGAATAATTGCATTACATCACCCATCATTCCAGTCCCTCCTCCTTGACCCACCATCCGTCAGCGCCAACGCTCCTGCCACATCCAGTAGTCCAAGGTGCCCTGACAAACAAATGACCTCAACAGCCGAAGCGAGTTTTGAAATCCAGTGTCAATGGTTCGGCTGCAGCAATCTCACCAAGAATCCTCAAAAAAGGCCCAAGTCCCAACTCAACTGACAGCAGTTGGCCAACATCATTTGATGACTTGAACTGAAGCGTTGAAACCATTGAAAGTCTTTGCCAGGACTCCCCACATGCTGTTGCAAACCTGGCCAGGGCTGAACATCATCTCGCCCTTCTCCAACACTGCATCCTAGTTGCGCAGGCGTGGTTGCATTTTATCAAAGGTTAGGCCCTCTGAAGCCGCATCCAAAAAACATGAATGGATAGATCGGGGGTTATATTGCATGTTTGTTACTGCTGTTTCCACTGTCGGCATTTGTTCATGCTCATAACTATTATTGTTATTACTGCCACCAATACTGCTATCATTATTACTCACATCATGATCATGATTTAGAAAAGTGATCACATGCCCAACCAAATATGGACCATTCAACTCAACACAGCGCTTGCCGCCACCTTCAAAGCGCATGAGCACAATTTCTGCATCATGGTGATGTTGATATCACCTGTCTCCACCCTCTGGTGGGTTGGTGGTGAAAACTCAATCATCAAAAACACTAAATATGAGAACTAGGGAATCGTGAATTCTATCATTTTTTGTGATTGAAATAGCTTTATTATATAAGGTTTCTTTTTCCTGGTCCATTTGCGGGGCCTCTCCAGCAATGAAACTCTGAAGCGTGGCGTCTCGCGGGACACTGGGGGCTCGACTCAAAGCATCAAACAAGGGGTGCACCTGAACGAGTTTCCACGCGGCGTATCGCAGCCCTCAAACAATATGTCTGGGTTCTCATGAATTCTCCGCTTTATCATTCGGAAATGATTGGAAATGATACAGTGTGATACAATTTGATACACTATGATGTATTGATATAATTCGAATTCATTGTCTGCGCCTGTTCTGTGTGAGTTTGGCCTCGCCACAATTTTGGCCTCGCCACAATTCAGAACAAGGATCTGAGGACACCACAACCAAATGCTTCTGGTAGATCTCAAGGTTCACCTCCTGACAGATTTGATGGGTCGGAAAATGTATCCCAAACGGGTCAGATCCAAGGCCTCCCTGTCAGAGCTTTGGACACTGTGGTCAAGGCAAACCCCTTGGAAAATCATTGGCTTGGTGGCCATTTTTGGACCTCAATGAATGAATCACACTGAGGATGCACAAATGGATCGTATCCCAGAAAACAAACTTGATTCCTGTTGGTGACAAAGTGATTGCAAACAGACAGAGCATGAAGCTGGCATTTTGTGCTTCCTATTCAAAATCTAACCCCATCGAGCTTTTCTTTTAACCATTAGTCTTGGCGCTCGAAGTTCATCTCATTCCGACCTGCATTCCGCAGCAGATGTTGAAATACGCAGCCAAGATACTCAGCCCTCACTTTGGAGCTACTACCACCATAGACACAAATGCGCTGAAGCAATGTCCATTTGGATCCATTTGGCGGCTCCTGATTGCTGGAACCTTTGTGAAATCATCGGTCGCATGATCCATCCCTACCCCACAAAGAGGGCAGTGCCATCTGGTCCCACACGGCTGATGAAACCCGGAAGCTAACAAGGTGCACACATTTTCGCTTCGAAACTTTGTGCACCTGGCCATCTTCCTGCTTTCATCAGCCGTGTGGGACCAGATGGCACGGCAGTCAGACGCCGAGCCGTTGGGGCCACAGAGCCATCGCCCAGGATGCACATGGCAAAGGCTGCATTTGTGGCTTGAATACGCTGAACATCCTGGGATTGGACATTGGAGCTATAGCCGCACTCTGAAGGACCGCGTCAGGAAACACAACGGATCCGTCTGCCTGGATCGTAGCAAGTGCAGCTGTTGATGCCTTAATCTGCCGCACATGCCTCGGTGGGTATGTCGCCTCCATATCACTGCGTGGCTAAAAAGGCTGATGATGCTTCGGCCTTCTTTGCCGCACAGTAATTTAGTAATATGGAGGCGCTGAGTGTATTCCTGAACAGCCAGCAGGAGATCTCCCGCAGCGGCAAGCGTCAAGAAGTACTTTCTGAAGTCTTCTGGGCCAAGATCTTTCAGTCCCCTACTTTGGAGGACGTCGGAACTGAAAAGCTCTCACTCTGACCATGTGATAGAGTCATATGACTCGAAGCATCAATTTGTACAATGTTTCATTGATCCGATTGTATCTTGAGCACTATCGACATTGGTTGACATTGGGTATCAGTTGGTCCATTCTTACTTAAATCTGGGTGTTCCAAATTCCAAATCCCTCCTTCCTTTTCTAGTGCATGGTTTTCACCCATTCCACTGATTCATTATACACCTGCTTGGGTGACTCCCTGACACCAGCCACAAGACCTAACTTTACCAATTGGAAAACAAAAGGGAATGAACAACTGTCCAGAACGCACCAAGGCTTTCCGAAGCATCAAGAACACACTGTGAAGAGCCCTTTTTCAATGCCAAATTGACATGCTGTTCCCGTAGTTCCCCTAGTCATCACCTATAGAAACTCCTGGCATCCAGCAAAAAACACCCCACCTTGGTCAACATCTGCGGCAGCATCGCCAGGATTTTCACCTCGACACCAAAAAAAATGACTGAAACCACGGTTCCAAGATTTTGCACGTTCACTATCTTCCACTATCTTTCAGTGGCATTCAGTTTCCTCTGCTAAACATGTCTGAAGTCCCAAGTCCTGCCCCTGGCCTGATCAACATTGACCTTCTGGTACTTTGGCTTGATCATGCTTTCAGTATATCTCAGGACCCTGGCCGTCAGCTCCATGGCACGCCAACTCCATATCGGGTCGGTTTGCAATCAAAACCTCAATAGTTTAACGAGAAACGTCTCCTGAACCTGCAGCCACAGGCAGTTGCGATTATGTCCTTTCAGAAAGATGTTGTCTTTAGGACAAATCAAAGAAATCAAACAATCAAACAAAACTATGCAATCACCAGGACTGCCTAACTTTTGGCTGAATGTCAAATGCAGCTATGAGTAAGCAACGGCACCCACCAGGAACGAGCCTGTGGGTCAACTGGGCTGAGATCTTCTGTTCTCGGAAGTATCGCCGCAGAGTCCAAATCTGGTGCTTGTACACCCTGGATCCGGGAACATCGGATGGATCTCAAAGTGGGCTTCCAGCAGCGAGAAAAAAACCATTGAGAAAGCAGCAAGTTCTTCCCATTAGCAAAGAATCGAATAAATGTTGGAATAATTTCACCAAAAAAAATGATGACTCCAAAACATCCGATTCTCTTTCCAAGAAACGGTTCTATGTCTCTCCACTTTCAAGATAATTCCAGCTGAGTGCCGCACGCATTGATGTCCTTGAGATTGTTGGTGGCTGCAGTGATTGAACTGACCGTTGAGGAGAAGACCACCATGCCCAGGACCAAGACCTCAAGGAAGATGTTTTTTCGTTCTCCACAGGGATTCCGATACCCCGGTAATTTCCACTAAGGATATCTTCAATGATTTCAATGGTGAGACCTGTGGATCCCAATTCTTATGGATCCTCCAATCTGTTCCTCAAATGGCGCAAAAAAAAACATGGAAATACATGGAAATCCTGAACCTCATTTAGCAAAAAATGCAATGTGTTCAGGGCCTCGGCCTCAAGCAAAATATAGATGAGGATGAAAACCCTTCAAACCCGCAACCATGGTGAGATGGAGATTTGGTGGTTCAACAACGGCATCCAGTCCGGTAGGAAGTTACTACCCTGGGAGCTGGACAACCACGCTGTAGAGTCGCTCTACGCCTGGACGAAATTGTGATGTTCGTGCATCTTGCATGGTGCGATTGGTATTTCAGGTCCGAATCTTAAATCCAAATCATTTTTTTTGTACATACTTCGGCATCCCATTCATTCCACATCCAACAAAAAACATCTTTGAGGCTCATGCTGTTCACTGGCTGGACGTTCATGGATCCAGGTGTGAACCTTGGGAGGATCAGCTCCAAGAGCACCCCATGCTGCAAACATCAACTGGATCGGTGTCCGCGGTTTGCTAACATTTGCTAACCTTTCTCTTGGCTCAAGCCAGCACTGTGTCTGAGCCAAGTCTCTGTGTAATCGACCAGTGAAGAGCGGTCAGGTACCTACAAAATTGATTGGAGCTTGCAGTGTGGTGCCCGATCTCGAGGCTGCCACACGCACACCATGTAAGCGTCATCGCATTTTCATCCACATGGCTATCAGCTTGTGGCTGTAGGCTGGCTTGTAGTCAGTGATACCCAAACCAAGGAGTAGCCGAGTAGCCACTCCCGCGGCCCCACGGTGCCTGTACTCCAAGCTGCGATCAAGTAAATTGTCCACCGAAATCCAACTCTCCTGTCGAAGCAGATTTTGAAATTTTGGCGGAGAAAACTTTGCAGATTTGGCATCACCAACAAGCTTTGTGGCTGTATGTGGCTGTCATGTCTGTCATGTTGGTCCTCAGGAGAAAAATCCTCCATGCCAATGGCATACCATCCACATCCAATGAAGTGCGACCTGTCTCCGAGAGAGCTGTGGAATAAGGGTCAATGAGCGCACATGATGAGTCTTGGTGCCATGCAAATCCCATCAAACCCATTGAGATTGCAGTGACTTCTGCACAATCTCACAGCGGGAAGGCATTCCAACCAACTGCCAAGGCCAAAGGAATGGATTGCATACTTTCATCCTTATCAGCATCATTCAGCATCTGCCACATCTGCATACGTCTGCCAAGTTGCAGGAGAAGTATCCACACCATGTTCCTCAGAACATTTGATATGGCAGCTGGCAAAAAGGCTGGCTCTGAAGGAAAAGCACATCTTGCTTTGGGGCGCGCTCCAGAAGTCCTCTGAGGTCTGTGCAGTAGCAGTTTCTGGATGATGCTGAAGTATTGAATGTTGACAAACCTGGGTCACTAGGTCCAAAGGGAGCCATAGCTTCTGTTCCACTGGAAGTAAGATGTCAGACTCCAATTTTGTGAACATGAACCTCCAAACAAAAACATTGGGGCAAAGTCTGCGGTTAGTGCCTTGGTTTCTTTATGACCTAAGAAAAGATAGAAATTGGATAGATCACATGCGGGGATGACAAGGCAAAGACCCTGTCAAGTAAAGCGAACAATGTACTGGAGTTCTGAACTCCAATCTACCAGGGCTTTAGCCCCAGGGCTTTAGCACAAGCGACTTCACCATGATTTTGATAGTCGTGTATAATTTAATATGTGTATATATTGATAATATTATATATATAATATAATATATATATATGATCGCATAGTATGTTCATGACATGTCAAAGATGCAAAGGATGATAACCATCCTTTGCAGAGATATTATTAGAATCGCATGTTCGATGTTTCTCAAACTTCTCCATCTCCAAGGGCTGAACTCATCTGCTTGGTGCAAAGCCTGACAAGCCCAATGATGCTTGGTGATAGCGTGCCCACCAAAGAACGTGCCAGTCATGGTCGGTCATGGTCTATGTCCACGTGTTAGGACTATGCAGTGGATCCATGATCCATGCAGTAGGTCTATGTCATTCCATGCTTATGTAACTTATGTAGTAGGTCTAGAGTCTAGAGATGTCTAGAGATGTCTGACGAGTTTACGGCCGTTCTTCTCGCGGGGAAAATTCAACAGTTGGCCCCCAGGATTAGAAGCCGCCCGCCATCGCCCGCCTCTTGAATCTTTCGCAGCCGCAAGAGGCGCATGACTCGCATGATCCTGCAGATCTGATGGATCAAAAACCTGGAGTCCGTTGTGGATTCCCACTGGGATTCCAGGTGCTGGCAGATAGGTCTAGGCCAGCGGGTTTCAACATGGAAACCAACTAGGAAACCATGGCCATTTAGGGAAGTGGCCATAGCGGCTATGAGCAGCTGAACGTCTACAAGAGTCTAAGCAAGATTTGAAGAGGAAGATTCAGACTCAATGTGACTCAACCATCCAGTCAAGAATGTGGAAGCTGGGGACACTGACTCTTTCCGCTGTATCCATACAAGTAGAATACCATATGAGAGATGTAAAATGATGCATATTGAATGAACACTCCTTTCACATGGACCCCTCCTCCATCACCACCCTTGACCCAAATATATTGCAGCAGGATATCTCTATTGTCCTCATGTAGCGCACGGACTTTCCAATTCGCGCAAAACCTGGCGCCGCAGAGACTACGACACTGGGGCTTGACACTCTCTGAGGGCATTGCAGTGCCTGCAGGGCTGGCGGCACTGTCGTTCTCAGCAAGGGCAAGATAGAGCCTGAGGGCTACAGACCCACCTTTCTTCCTGCACCAAAAAAGGGGACTGAAACACACCACTGACAAGAAATAAGTCTGAGACGGAAGAATTCTGAGCATTTCTCAGCAACTTCCACTCTGAAAACATGGATTCACAGTGATTCACAGGTCATCTTTGTTCACCGCATTCCAACATTCAGCCATGGCCCCGGACATCACCCAGTCCACCACAATGACAATCAAGTCAGGAAGCATCCAGGTCCTCCGCAACATCGCTGCGCGACAAATCAAGTTGACTCGGCTCCATGTGGAGAAAACTGTGGAAACGAGCCAGGATTGTTTACATCACGCAACATTCACGCAACATTGCCTTGCATTGCTCCACACATGTAACATAACACATGACATAACATGAAATGACGTGACGTGACATACCATGACGATGTTCTCCACTGCATTACTTGAAATCACTGACATGTGATAATTGTATATAAGTGTAACTTCCATGTGTCCAGCCGTGCTTTCTACTTGTTTGCATCACTGAAATACATCACATCATTCACCTCACATCACATCGTTCCACCAATGTCGCCACCAGGTCACATCATACATCGACCATGTGCTAAGCTCCCGGCCGAGCATAGCGGGCTGCAGTCTGAGGCATGACACAGTATTCACAACAAGGGTTTGGGGCAAAATGAACATCTCAAACTTAAACTGGGATCCCTTCATTGGTTTGGCATGGTTTGGTCATCTGTCATCGCCAAAGAATGGCAAGATATCGTATGAAGATGTATTAAGATATTGCAAAATACATTAAGAAAATTGGATAAAATTTGGTATGGGTCAAAATTAGATACCCCTATAATAATTTCATGGTTAATACGAAAGATGACCCATTCCCAACTAGTAAGATATGGCCGATATGGCAAGCGGCGACCCATGTTGTGGCCTTTGGCAGCCGCGTCTCGACCACTCCATCAGTAGTGTCGTACCTCGCGCGCTGTATCCTTCATGGGACTAATTAACCTAGAAAATCCTAGAAATACGTACAACGTATCTCGCCAATTTGAAACCAGTTTGGGATGATTTCAATGATTTCCGGGCATTGTAAAACTTTGAAAATTGGCTACCCTCTGGTAAACTAACATAGCTATGGAAAATCACTGTTTCTAATGGGAAAATCGACTATAAATGGCCATTTTCAATAGCTATGTTAGTTTACCAGAGGGTATCTCTGATGGTGGGCTGAGATCAACGGAATGTGATCATTCCGCCATGGGCAGTGCCAGTGCGGGCACCCAACGAAGAAGGACAAGACGAAGTCCAATGTCCAAAAGCTCGCCTAGTGACGACACCAGGGGGATCACCAGGGATTAGATCCCAAGATTCTGGCTGTGAGTACTCCAGGGAGTCATTCTATCATCCTATCTATCTTTCGCAGTTCTTTTGGAACTAGTTTCAGGAGGTGTGTGCCCAGAAATATCATAGCCATGGATAGCCCTAAATCCACAGCTGAATCATCATTGTCCATAATTTTCCTATTCAAGATACCCTCTAGTAATTTAACATAGCTATTGAAAATGGCCATTTATAGTGGATTTTCCCATTAAAAATGGTGATTTTCCATAGCTATGTGAAATTACCAGAGGGTAATATTCAAGAATTGTCAAAAGAAATGGCAGTTGGAGTAGCCCCGATTTTTTAACAGCCAAGCCATGACGAAGCCATCCCCACCGCCAGATGGTGATATCCATGGGCAAGGTGCTGCAATCAAGTTGGGCTTGACGAACAAATGCCTAGGGCAATACTCCAGTGCACAACTTGCGGAACTAGCACCGGAGTGATTCAATGATGGGAACAAAAGGGTCCTTTTGAAACTATGATTAAAATATGCTAAAAGATGATATGATCGATCTGCATTTTGGTGGGAGAGCATTTGAAAGGGATCGAGGGACTGTTCAGGGGGGTTCTTCGAACTCTGAGATACTTTGAGAAGCCTTTGTTCAAATCTCATGATGAGCCCCCCTCTGAGCAACTCAGGATTGGGGTCCATTGATCTGAATCCAAACTCTGTATAACGTCTTGTTTCTCGCAGGTTCCAAGATGTGTTCAATTTTTGTTCCGGCAAACCGTCACTGCGTGAACCGGTAAACTAGCCCACATCTTGTCCCAGAACGATCTTTCGTAGTCACTTCTTGGGCCAAACCCTGGATCCTGGACGAGATACTCTATTCTGAAGGCCGACAAAGGAAAGCTCACCTTGGAAGTTCACCAGCTGCCCCGCTTTCGCGAAGAATTTCTTAAGGCTGCGACGCAATCATAGAAGAGGACCACCAGAAAGATGAGGTTCCAAAAGAGAAACTGAAGGCTAGAGGGCCTCTCTCAAAACAAGTTTGTATGAGAAGGCTAACTATATCTCACTACATCTCACTACTCACTTTCAAGCGTGCACTTTCCAATCTCTCCATATCTCTCCTATCTCCCCAATTTCCTGACCGTCCTGATGGTGCATGAAGTTGGCACCGGTGCAGACGAAAAAACGGCAGAGCTTCCTGCCCACAACTGTTGAGCGCCCGAGTCCACCATCCTGGGCAGTGGCAATTTGGCAGGTCCCACAGGTCCACACAGGTCCAAAATGTCGTAGCGGCTGTGTCTCCGATTTTCTCTAAGCTCCAGGCGCAACTGCCTCGGTCGTTTTATTGGATGGTGAAATGGATGGTGAAACAATTGATCGCTGTATCTCTACACCCTGAAGTATGCTTCAAGGAGGAGCATCCTCTTTCTGCCAGTACATATGGAGATCATATTGAGATAATATTGAGATAATCAGATGTGCTGACTGACACATTGGGCTCTGAAAAACTCACTCAAGGTTGAACAGGAGACCAACAAAGGAAAAAAGCCAACATCGTAGAAGAACTGTCCCGAGAGTTTGATCCAAACATCTCCCCATATCCGAGCCCAAAACCTTTGATTTCTCATGCGCCAGGTTCCGCACCACGTCCGCTCCCTGGGACTCCTAGCATGAATGAAAGCTGTGTTCGCAGCAAGCATTTCTTAAGGTACCAGTATAGCATATATCGAACTGAACGTTAGATTCTATATATTCTATGATCCGATCATCATCCAAAGGTCATAATAGGTCATATATTACGTCATGTCCATCAATCCAATTGATTTCGTGTGAAGTCCTTCCATAGCGGCCAGGGCTGGATCAGGTTGGATCCAATCTGGCCAGTAGTCGCTGGGTTTCCATCAACATCTGCCGTGTCAACCCAGCATTCAATGCGGGGCACTCCCTCAACAAAGAAGTTGTGCTGTGAAAACCAAAACCATCGAATTGTGTATGTTGGGGCTCCCAACACATTGCTGTCTGCCCTACATTTTACAAGAAGTCATCAATGCAATAGACTAAAAGACCGTCAAGAGACAGCCACTGCTTCAAACAAATGCCACCGGCCATTGCCTGGATTGGCTTTGGGAAGGTGCTCACACCACTCATGGTACGATCAAACATCGCCACCGACTGTGACTCTTCCTGTCAACATCATCCATCAAATCGATTCAAATTTATTCAACACAGATCAGGCTGAGTCGGAGGTTAAGAAGCTATCTTCACGTGGATAAACTACCTTAGAGGTATCTACCTGTCTTCCTCACTGAGCATGATTGAATTCTTCGGATCCTTCTGCAGCTGGTAGAGGCTATCCTAGGATGGCGTAGAGCAAGGCATTAAAAACACTGGCAGAAGGTTGGCGGATTCAAAAAAACTAAAAATCTGGGGTGGACGACAAAGGACAGAAAAGATGCGGGAAAAGCGAGTCGTTGAAACCACAAAAAAAGCCCTTGCAACCTCTTGCACATGTCATTTGGCATGTTGCTGATTTTTCCTTGTATTTACCCATAAGTTATTACATAATATTACATACAGTAATATTACATAATAGTACATAATATTACATAATAGTACATAATATTACATAATAATACATAATATTGCATAATATAATAGTACATAATATTACCTATAACAGTACTTTAACATCCTATAAAGTAAATCCGCCAAACAGCTGTGCATATGCTGTGATCTCACATATCGCCAAGGTGCACTGCTTAGCCCCGTGGTCCACAGTGAGGGACTCCGGCCGATGCTGCGAGGCCTGCCCAGCCGAGTCAATTGACAAAGAACAAATCTGGATTGATACTGTTGATGGGAGAAATCCTGCACCACCTTGGATGGTTGAAACCCTATAAATAGTGGGATAAACCATCTATCAACTGGTGCAGGATTTCTTCCATCCACAGTAGCATTGATGTTGGATGGAGGACTTTGTATTTTACCCTTGCTTCATCTTGCTTCATCTTGCTCAATACTTCTGACAGCAATCGAGAAAATCGCAAAGGTTCCTCTGGCACTCGTGTTGCATGTTCCACTGCCAGGTCTACATTAGGTCAGCCTCTTCAGTTTGCTGGCACCTTCTGCCTTTCGAAAGGTTGCCTAGTGCAGCCAAGGTACGAGTTGTAGGCTATCTGATGCCAAACATTATCATAATCATGCCAAGAGGTATTAAGAGCTTGTGAATCACCAACAACTACAACAATAAGGGCGAAACTTCATCAGCTATCATTGGGGGGGTCACCAAATTCCCATGACACCAATTCCTGAGATTCGCATCTGTCTAGTTTGTGCATCCACGTCTCTGTTGGTTGCAGGTAGTTGAGATCTAGTCAAGCCATTGATGTGCCAAAAATTGCAAGAGGCTGTATCATCAAACATGTCCACAGGTCGAAAGAGAGCAAAACAGATCATCTTTCTAGAATATCTGGAATGATTTATCACTGTACTGCTTTCACACACACCACACTGGCAGGTCGAAAAAAGATCGAAAAAGACTTGCAGATGCCTGTTCCATGCCGTCCTTCAAGGACTGGATTGCCAAGTGATGATCTGCACAGAGTTGCCTGCACGACAGGTTTAGAAGTCCTCCAGAGGAACATGCAGAAGCAGAAAACTACTATCTTGACGTAGTCTTCGTGTCAACAGCCCAGGCAACGTGTCTCACTTGAAAAAAAACAATAACTCTCATAAACTCAGCGCTAGGATCAAAAAATAATGAGCTTCAAATCTCCTAATCTAATGAACTCCATCTACGGTGGTGATAGGATGTGCAAAATCCATGCAGAGATCCGGCTTGTGGATATATTCCTACATCAGTTGAGATATCAAGGAGATTTATTCCCACCCAAAAAACAACATGAAGGCTAAAACACAGAGTTGAAACATGTTGACATATTGAATCTGTAAGAGGGATTCTATTATTTATTCATGGTTATTATATGAATCTATAATTGTCATATTACTGCAACTACTGACTACTTTAGATAGTATGTCATTGTATTTTAATCAGAAGTCTCACGAAAACTACGTCTCCCAGGAGAGCCTGTGCAAATCTGACAGGATCTGCTCCAATTGTTTGTGAACCTTCAGGATTTGGGTTAAATCCTCCCATCTCCACCATCGATGGTCATGTTCACGCTGAGTTTCTCACTCTCAACTATAGGATACCAAAAAGGGTAATGGCATCTGTTGCTCATATGGGAAGTGGCCACAACCAGAATGATGCTAGTATGCTAGTTACTTATTGGATATACATGGAATACATGGATATACAATGTTGCAAGTTATACTGTTTCGGCCATACCTTTCCAAGGACAGTGCAGAAGTCAGTCGCTCGCTCCACAGCATCTCCAGCGTTAAATTCCCTGCCGCAACTGGAAAGGTGTTGTGGACGCATTCTGTGGATTGTATCACATGTATGTTGCATGCTAAGTACGTGTATCGCATAGACCTTGGCTATCATGCATCTCTAGATGTATAGTAAATATAATATGTAAATATGTTCTTAACTATAGAAATTGTTGGGGTTTTAGCAAACGTCAACCTTTGGTGGATGTCCGAAGGGTGCCTTCTTCAGCATCGGATTGGCCTGGAAGTGGAAAGTCTGCTACACCCTAGATCTATCATGATTTTTCTACTTGTTCTTTTCGGGCAATCTTAGTTCCACACGTGGAGCAACTGAGCAACAAAGTAACAACATATAACAAAATCGAATGGGAGTAGCTAATGGATAGGTTATGGCATGAGCATGCGTGTTTCACCAATCAGTAGGTGATTTGTCTGATCTTCAAACGTGGCTCTTGACGCCTTTGCCCAATGACTCTGTCATGGCACGCTCGCTATGCTGCAAGTTGCAGGGGATTCAGTGAAGTTCGATTGTTCTGGGTATTTCAGCTACCATCAGCTACCTCCAAGCTTCCGGTGGATCGTGATCATTTTCATATGGAGGTTCATTTTCATATGGAGGTAGGCCAAGCTTCACCTACTGTATTCTCTGTGAGTCGAACTGCTTAAAAAGGCGCAATCGCTGGAGCCTCCATAAAAGATGTTCAGCATTACACGGGCTTCGCTGGATACGTTTGACATCTTTTGACTCACTGGAAACTCCATGTCCTTCAGTGCAGTTATGGAGAAAAGACTTGTATCATCTTCTCCCAATGAAACATCGAAAGAACAGCAAGAATAAGCCAAAATGCTGCGGGGTTGCCGGACTTGGACATCCTGTGATTATGTTCTTTTGACACGTCACTGGAAAAGAATTGCTAAAAAAAGACATCAAAAGATAGCCTGCTGCTGGTGCTATCTGGTGCTCAATGCTAGGTGCAGCTGCGGAAACACCTTTCTTCAGCATATCTGGCGCATTAGCTCCATCTCAATATGGCATGCCTGCAGGGGCAAATGCAAGAACTAGGCAGGAACTAGCAGGAACTCACTCGTTTACAACAGAACTCAGGTCGCATGGGCGTGACACGGCTTGACCGAGCCAACTGAGCCAACTCCATGGCTGTGACTAAAAATATTGAAAAAATGGTGTCCAAGTGTCCATGGCCAACCGATTTTCATGGGAATTTTATGGTGTATGAACACCATTGGAATACCCCCCCACTGGATGCCCTGGATGCCTTCCCAGCCGTCGGACCAACCTTTCTTCCCCATGCCACCTGGCTCAATGTGTATCCTTGCCTTCTGTGGAATCCAGGTAATCAGCTATTGTCAGATATCCAATGTGGGTCCATCTGAAAAATATGCCCATAGATCCCATAGAACGGCAATTTAATATATTTAATGGGGCAGCTGATCATTGACCAGCGGCCAGCAGTTTGTCATCCACTTTCAACATCTGCTACTGCCAGCAGATGCCAGCAGTGGCTGTGGAGAAATAACACAGCACTTGAAACATGTCTGGAAGACCTTTACCTTTGCCCCCTAAGTCCGATTTCAAGCACACAAAGACTCTCACTTACAAAGGGAATCGTGATCGAAATACAACGAAACCTGGGGCGCAGGCATCCTCCACCCTTCATGCCCTCAGGTTATGATTTACAATGGAGGGATTTTGACTTGAGAGGGAAGGGTGAAAGATCGAAAGGTAGGCGTGGGTTGGAACAGGAGAAGAGAGCAAGGGAACGAGGCATATCTGCTGCGGACGGACGTGGGTGGAGTTGGGGCGGATATCGAAAAAAGTCTTCTGGGTTTGGACTCGAGGGCGGGTACCAAAAAGGTAGGTTTCAGGGAGGGGGGACACGACACACACACAGACACACAGACATATATATATATATATATAAATACATACATATAGTTAGATATATGTATAAATATCAGGTTATGGGGTTTGCGAGGCAACGTGTAACTGGGGGCAGCACATTGTTGCAACGCGGATGGGGTTGATTCTGGTGTGTACATGTGTAGAACAGTGTGGGATTCACAAACGTGGTGTTTTGACCCCAGCATGTACCCAAAGCAACTGACTTAGGGCTATCCTGGTGCTGGAATCTTGGTGCAAAAAGTGGGCCCACGGGGTGACTTCTTGCAAACGCGGCTTTAGAGGCGGACCTTGGGGGAATCGAAGGGGGGGGTTCAATATAGTTGTGATAATTATGTTCTAGTTATTATAGTAATTCTAGTCATTATAGGTGTTCTAGTTATTATACATGATAACTATATATATACGAATATACATATATATGAAACATATTGAAATGTCATTAGCGAAGTCTTTTGGTTGAAGAGAATATCTTGGAGGAACCCTTGCGGAAAATCCACCAAATGATCTAGATATGCTGAGCAAGGGGCAGCGATTATGCTTCGGTAACCACTAGCCAAAGCGCAATATCCCACAATTGCTGGGTAGAGTATGCATATATATATATATATACGAATCTATATGTATATTGAGATTATTTAGTATATATATATATATATCATGGAATTATTATGTGTATATATATATATATATAGATACATATCTTTAACTATATTGTCGAAGGAAGTTGAGAAGCTAAACTTCCGACAATATGGACAGATGAAAAGCAGAGCAGGGCAGAGGCAGAGAGAAGAGAAAGTTCAGAAGAGAAAGAGTCAGAAGAAAGAAGATGCAGATGCGCGAAAAGGTAGGAAAGTCGCGATTCACTGTGTTTTTCCAATGATTTGTGGTTCCGGAGGGTCGAAAAGTAGGCTCGCTAAAGCGGCGGGTGCGGAGACATATGGGGAGATGAGACATGAAAAATTGCACGCCGTTGTGGCGCGAAGCACATTTCCAAGTCAAAATGCACAAAACACCAGAGGATCGGACCACTTTTGGCGCTTCAGATGTCGAAAAAGTGCACGCCGTTGTGGCGCGAAGCACATCCCCAAGTCAAAATGTACAAAACACACCAGGGTCTGACCACTTTTGGAAGTTGCGATGTCGAAAAAGTGCACACCGTTGTGGCGCGAAGCACATGTCCAAGTCAAAATGTAGAAAACACACCAAGTGCGGACCACTTTTGGCACTTAAGATGTCGAAAAAGTGCACGCCGTTGTGGCGCGAAGCACATTTCCAAGTCAAAATGTTAAAAACACTAGGGGTTCGGACCACTTTTGGAGGCTCAGAGGTCGAGTTTCGAAAAAGTGCACGCCGTTGTGGCACGAAGCACATTTCGAAGTCAAAATGTGCAAAACACCAGGGGTTCGAACCACTTTTGGAGGCTCAGAGGTCGAGTTTCGAAAAAGTGCACGCCGCTGTGGCGCGAAGCACATTTCGAAGTCAAAATGTACAAACCACACCATGTTCGGACCACTTTTGGAGGCTGAGATGTCGAGTTTCGAAAAAGTGCACGCCGTTGTGGCGCGAAGCAGATTTGGAAGTTAACATGTTAAAAACACTAGGGTTTCGGACCACTTTTGGCGGTTCAGATGTTGCTTCGCTTAACTCGACTACACTACATGACACTACACTTTGCTGCACTACACTACATTACACTACATTACATTACACTACACTTCACAACACTACAGGTTACAACTACAACTACACAACTACAGTCCACTACAGTCCACTACACTAAATTACACTGCACTACACTCTCTACACTACACTTCACTACATTACACTACACTACACTCCACTACACTACAAATACAACTACACCTACCCAACTACACTCCACTACACTCCACTACACAACATTAAACTACACTACACTACCTTACACTACACTACACTCCACAACACTACAACTAAAACTACACAACTACACTCCACTACACTACACTACCTTACACTACACTACATTACACTACACTAGACTCCACTACACTACACTACATTACACTACACTACACTACCTGCCGCTACACTTCACGACACTACTCTACACTACACTCCACTACCACCTACAACTACAACTACACTCCACTACATTACACTACATTACATTACACTACATTACACTGAATGACACTGCACAAAAGATAGACAGGTAGACAGCTAGACAGATAGATAGATAAGATAGATAGATAGATAGATAGATAGGTAGATAGATAGATAGATCGATCATAGATAGATATGATAGATAGATAGATATGATAGATAGATTGATATGATAGATATGATAGATATGATAGATATGATAGATATGATAGATATGATAGATATGATAGATATGATAGATATGATAGATATGATAGATATGATAGATATGATAGATATGATAGATATGATAGATAGATAGATAGATAGATAGATAGATAGAGATAGGATAGATCGATAGATCGATAGATCGATAGATAGATAGATAGATAGATAGATAGATAGATAGATAGATAGATAGATAGATAGATAGATAGATAGATAGATAGATAGATAGATATGATAGATATGATAGATATGATAGATATGATAGATAGATGATAGATATGATAGATATGATAGATATGATAGATATGATAGGATAGATAGGATAGATAGGATAGATAGATAGATAGGATAGATAGGATAGATAGGATAGATAGGATAGATATAGATAGATAGATAGATAGATAGATCGATAGATAGATAGATCATAGATCGATAGATAGATAGATCGATAGATCGATAGATCGATAGATCGATAGATCGATAGATCGATAGATCGATAGATCGATAGATCGATAGATCGATAGATCGATAGATCGATAGAGGATCGATAGATGAGATAGATGGATAGATAGATGGATAGATGGATAGATGGATAGATGGATAGATGGATAGATGGATAGATGGATAGATGGATAGATAGAGATAGATGGATAGATGGATAGATGGATAGATGGATAGATGGATAGATGGATAGATGGATAGATGGATAGATGGATAGATGGATAGATGGATAGATGGATAGATGGATAGATAGATAGATAGATAGATAGACAGGTAGACAAGAGTGAGAGAGATCAATCGCCTTTCAGTCCAGCAGTGGCTTCGCTCTGCCATCTCTGATTCACAACAACCAATCTCTCCTATAGGTTTCCTATTTTTGAACCTTCCGCCACCGCCTTGTGCGGTACTACTGGTATATCATGTACGATTTTTGAGACTACTGCAACGCAGTCCGTCGCAACGTTCTTGCTACGACATTGTTCATCGCGGTTGTTAGGGTGAACGAAACAAAGTTCTTGAGCAATCTGACATTGTCGAGTTTCAGTGCGGGTCTTGACTTCGGTTGGGGTGGGGATGTATGTAAACGTGGTGGATGAAAGTGCATGTGCGGCTGTTGGCGTTTCCTTGTAGTCCGCCTATGTTGCAAACCCGGCTTTAGAGGCGGACCTGGGGGGAATCGAAGGGGGGGGCCCCCCCCCCCCCTTGAAAGGCGGACCGAGACATAACCGGCCCAAACTCTTGCACTTGCACCGCTCGCCCCCTAATACTTGCTACGCAAGGGGGAACTCAGGTAGCTCACCGCTACCTTTCGAGATAAACTGGAGCCACAAGGCCACTTACAGTATCTGGGGTGTGGCCTTCAACGTCCAAAGTTTCTGCAAAGCACAGAAACATGGTAGTTGAATATATTGAACCTGGCAAAACAATGCAAAACATGAGCTGAGTCCCTGACCCAACCTCCGTCCCAACCCCAGTTGTTCCATCCCATGCCCATGCCGTAGCCCATGCCATCCATGCCCATCATCTTAGCGAGGGCAGCAGTAGTGTTGGGACCAAAGATTCACCGATGTGGTTGGAGTAAAACGTTCAAGCCATTCTAGTTGGAGCAACACTTTCAAGATCTTTCAAGCCAATACGTGATTTTGAGCCTTGAAGGATCTTGAAGGCATTGTTCCGATGTCCATCTTGCAAACTCAGCTGTGCACCATTCCTTTGCCACCTTTTCCAGAGTTCATTTTGCCCCTCAGCGAAATCAAGTCAGCCAATCCAGGCAAATCCATATCGGGCTGCACAGCTGAGCATTCCAACTTGGATGGTGGTGGATCCGGTCTGAACCTTCAGGCCAGGGATGTTGCTGGAAATACAGCTGCCAACACTAACAACGTTTACGAACCTTTTTTTTTGATCATCAGGTGCAGGATATTGAGTGATTACTACTATTACTATAATAATTAAACAATAACTATCATTATTGTTTCAAGGTGGCTTTTCATGAAATCCAAAGGTGCGAGCAACGTCAGGCAGGGGACAGTTCACCATCATACCCTGCTGTTCACCTTCATATTCAGATATGTTCATTCATATATATATATATCATATATATATATTATAATATATATATTATAATATATATATATATATGATATATATATATATAATATACTATTATAATATGTCATAATAAGGACATCATAGACACACGTAGACTATTTTCCCATCCTAAATGATGGAACTGAGCTTCCGAACTTCGCAAGAACTGCCCGCTGCTGCTCCAACACCTCAGGGTGCAGCTCACAGCTACAGCAAATCTTCAGAAGCCGAAGCTGAGCCGCACCTGCCGTGGGAATTTGCCCTCCGGCACCGGCCTAGGCGAATCGAAATTTCTCACAGGGAGAACCATTTCTGGATCAGCATGTCCTCAAAAATGGGGCTGAAGCTCCAAGGCCTAGTTTCTGCATGATTCTGCAAATCCATCGTAGCTACAAGTAATTGCGAGTAGTCTGAGTTATTTTCTGTATGAAAGGTGGACAACCAGCACGCTCCATGCAGCCAAGAAGCCCAGGTGGTGCTGCGAAGTGCATCACCCTTGGAAAGGGAGGCGGCTGCTTGTACTCATTCTCCTGTGAAGCGACAGCCCTAGCCCCAAGCCACTAAGAATCCCAACAGAGGCACATTTTTGTTTGTCTGAAAATGTGGTATGCCTGTGGGTTAAGACCCTGGTACTGTACCCTGGTAAATACCAAAATAGGTGGCAGCCATGGGCATCCATCCCCCAAAAATACGTTTTCTTGTCCCATCCAAATGGCTTTTGTTACCATGGGTCTTGGATTTTTGGGATATGCATTTCAATCAATTTGAGGACAGTTGATACACAGAATACCCTGGCTGCGCACCTCCCGAAGCTGTCGGTAATAGCCTTGGTGCCATGAAACTGTCGGAACATCCGACAGAAGTCCTTCGACGCTTCCCATAATCCTCACTGTTTGAAGACTCAAAGTTCTCACATATTACACTGCCAAAACCTGCGAGGTCATCATGAACATGGTGTTGGTGTCCAAAATCCACCTCCATTATTCCTAGGTCCTAGGTGATCCTATTTGTAGGTTCCTTTCGATGGTTCAAAATCCACCGTTTCCCAGAGGCACAGCATGGCACAGAAACAACAGCTGTATACCATATTCTACCAGCAGAGTAACGAGCACATCCTGCTTCATTAAAAAAACACTGGCTGCTAAGTACTAAGTATCCATGAGCTAAGTGGGGTTTTCCCACAGCCCATACCCTCCAGTACATTTCAGACATGAAAAACCCAACATAAAAGTAGGATATACACCGCAAGTAGATCATATTCCGAACTTGGGTTCATTAGGTCCATGGTTTTCCCAGTTTCCCCATTTTTTTTTCCCAGGTTTTTCCCAACTGAGGCATCCAAACCATCCCGCAGGAGTTCCAACCAGCTCTCGCCATCGTCGTCCTTGGGCACGGCCGTCTCATCTGAGGTGGGCACCTCGAAGATGGCGACAAAACGAGGACGAGGGACGCCAGGTCAAGTGGCAGTCATGACATCTACTGTATATCTGTAGATATCTATATCTGTAGATATCTATATCTGTAGATATCTATATCTGTAGATACTAGGTATCTATATATCATAGATATATTGATATATTATAGTTATATATAAATATAACGGAACAACTAGAGAGTCTATAATTATAATTCTATAGATATCTTATATTTGCAGTATTCTATATATCGTATATCATGGAATATCATGCACCCCTGCCATCCACAGAGCATCAAACTCAGAAAAACCGCACCTGCCAGGCTGGATCAATGAAATTGGGATCAGCGATTGGTGCAGGTACACCCACCGAAGGAGCTGGTGGTGGCAGCGGTGCAGCCTCGAGTGGATATTGCGATGATGGGCCAGGATGGTTCAGCCATGAAAAAAGCCATCATTCGATGGCCATCATTGGTGGATAAACATTCATATAGCAATATTATATATATATATATGGATATCCACAATATATCTCAATATCTCAATATATTGCAATAATGGCTGATGGTTATAATTTCAGCAACTGTTGTCCTTACATCCTGCCGACACATGTCCAGAGCTGCCCACTTTTGTGCTGGCGTCTGGCACCTCATTGTGGGGGCGCAGCGGCAGCAATCGATACCACAAACTCATAGTACAATCCAAAGACTTAAATTCTACCTATGTGTATGTATATATACTATTATACTGTATATTAGGTGTCACATTCATTTGTATTGAATCATCTTACAATAGCAGATCTGTCAATGTTTCAGAAGTGACCTTCTCCTGCGGAGGTGCTATCTTCTGTTGACAAATGCTGAAATGCGGAGCTGCAACTGGTCTGAAGTTTCATCGTGAACTGTGAACACCAATGCAGGCTCACAAGCAATAATATATATATATATTATGTATATTATATATATATATTATATTATATATATATATATATATTATATATATATATTATATATATATATATTATATAGTTCTTCATCCGAACATTGTTGGATTCAAAGGATGCACGAGTCACTGCATCTCAACAAGTAGAGCCTTTTTATAGCTGAGGTTCACACAACGTTGTCTGAGTTGCTCATCGCACAAACAATGGAGCAGGAAACTATAGCTGGAAGGATTCTATGTAGTGCCTCTGAAAGGATGTCCTGAACAATACCTGGCTGCTCACATTAAGTTCAAGCATGTCCAGGTTCGCATCCAAATTCCAATCTCAATTCCATATAGATTGGTCATGACATGTCATGACCTCACCTGAATTTTCTTGAAAGTCTTGGTTGAATGACAGCCTTGGTTGTGTCTGATGTTTGAGGCCCAGTTGAGGCTGTGTTTGTACATGAAATTCAGCCGACGCGTCATTGCGAACATGGGCCGATTTCTGATCTGCAGCAGCACCAGCTACTGGAAACAGCTGGATAAGCCATCATGGCGGGAAGGTGCAATGGGCTGGATGCAAGTGTCCTGCTTCCGGAAATGTTCAGAAATCATTCACTATGACATTACAGCATAATCATTGCATATAATATATATCTATATAATCATTACTTGGATGTGCTTGTTGCCAGCTTGTCAAGGTCTTCTTCCCTTCATGAACTGCCACGTATTTTCAGGTAATTCTTTGAAAGCGAAGCACAGCAAATGTTGGGCGTAGCTAGAGTCATTGAGACATTGCCATCAGATCCATCAGATCCATCAGCTACTTAATGCTATATACTTGCATCTCATCATGCAGCCAATTGGCCAAACGGCTGTCCACAGGAGCTGCCACCTTTTTCTTGTCAATAATTCCATCAGCTTTCGTTTCGCTGATGCAGTGTCTTCATTCAGACTGCTGTTGCACTAAAGTTACTAAAGCAAACCATAGTGCAACAAGTTGTTCATCAACTCTTCTCATTTGCTGGTAATTTTCGTAAGAATCCTCAACGCACTGAGTGTATTAGTGGATGAACTTCATTGGAACTCGGACAAATCCGGTCAGAACTGTATAAATAAAGCTGACTCACGTCAAATGTACCGATTGTATTGTATTGAACTCTCAGCATCATCTGCCGTACGATGGAGAGCGCCTGGGTCCAATTCCCACCGACTGCGCGGCTGCACAGGGGCAAAGGACAGATCACATCATGTCACATCATGTCACGTCATGTCACGTCATGTCACGTCATGTCACGTCATGGATTCCGGGCCTATCCCTTCTTGGGGATCCTGAGCGTGAGCGGCTTCGATCCCTTCTTCTCCTGGCAAAGGACATTTGCTGAGGTGGTTCCGGAAAAAAGGGAGTACTGCAAACTCCACTCAGAAATGGTTGAATTGGGAAACCAATGATTGCTGGCATCTCCATGTTTGATCGTTCTTCGACACACTTAAACATCTTAAACGAAAGGAGGATCTTGGATTAGTATGGATTAGTTGGCAACTAGGCTTACAATCAATGTGTTAGCGAAGCTTCAGCAAGAAAGCGTTTGTTGAGAAAATGTCATTCGGCTTGACACAAACTTTCCATCTTGAACTTGAACTTTCCATCTTGCGCCGTCTCGGACACTGGCTTAGACGTCAAATACAACTCCCTTCAGACATGATGGAAATGGAAATACTAGTAATCCATAGAGAAATCCAGACTGCACTCACTTGTATACCAATCCAACGAAATGAATCGTCATGTTTCGTCAATTTTCCTCATCAAAACTCACTAAAATCGTAAGGTTGGGGATACAGTTACATAGGTGCACTACACACATCATTATACATATACATTTATATATACAAGATTACACAAGTATACAGTATATTACAGTATATTACAGTATACAGTATCAATAAACCAACCATAATATACGATAATATACCACCATTTCCCCAGAAACCCAAACAGTGCCATATGGCATCCACATGGACTTTCCCATGTTTCCTCTCGGAGCTCCGCCGTCGACTGCGCCGGCTGCGGCTTCGCCTCAAATTCAACGGGCAAGCTTTGGTGAGGTGGATGAAGAATGATTCAACATGTTTCAACACATTCATTGAAGGGAAAATCTACAAGAAACCATGGTTTTAAGTTTTTACCATCAAATTTATAGGGTTTTCCGGTTTTCAGTGTAAATTTTCCCATCATCCAATTCTATGACAAATGGAACAAAATTGGAATCCATCCTTCTGCTGGAGCTCCGCCGGACGCGACTTCGGCTACGCCTGGCCGTGAAAGAGACGTGCCATCGGCGCAAGGTCTGAGACGACGTATAGTTCACAAATGATGGATAATCTGTATAACATTAATATATATAGTATATAATCATCAATATAGTTCACAGATTATTCAGTATATATAATCATCTACAAATGGTTAATGCTTAAGAACGATTGTATAATGAATGTTGATGATGAATACATGATAATACTGTTTCATATGTTTTCTGGATATTAAATTATTGATATTAATGGTATATTAATGGTTGTTATAGCACATCTTAAAAACTGATCTAGAACTATTGGGTCATTAGAGGAATGAGCACATGGCATCCAGATCCAGCAACTGCAGCCAGCTGTCGCCAGCTGTCGCCTTTGCTTCGGACCAGGTTGCGCACCTCCCCCTGGCTTCAGCTGGTTTCAACATGTTTCAACCAATCCCATGTCGAGTGAGCTGGCAAAATCCTCCCTGAAAAATTTTGGGCTGAACGAAAAACAACACATACTGTAACGGGATTGTATCAGATTATGGACATGATGACTCAAATTCATTCAAATTCTAGCTTGTGCTCGACTTGCAGGCTGCCATGATTCCACAAAACAACCATCTGATTGCACATATTCGGATGATGTTGGCGGAAGGCTCCTCCACCCTTGCCCATTGAGAGCTGAATATTCAGGTTCTTCCCCTGCATCAAGGAAAGACAGATATGGCTTGCTTGCATCATATGACTGCAACCCCTGATTTATGTGCCTGCCCTGCCCCCCCTCCACGGTTGTCAGTTCCCCTACTCATAGGTATGGCTCAAAAAAAGGGTATGGATCGTTCCGCTGTAGTCCGGCAGTCTGGAACGAGTGAGTTACAGTACATATAAGAGGTTTGATCCGGGCTTCCTGCGAATGTATACTAGAGTGGCCTAGTACAACTTGACATTTTTGCATATGTTTGCGTATGGATCAAGGGTGGTATGGTTTTGAGCCGCGGCCATATCTGTAGTATCTGATTCCCAGGGTCACACATCTGCCCAGAATCGCTACAGATTGTAAGCACAGAGGCCTGAAACTTGACACCATCCATGCCTTCAATGGCTTTCAGGGCCTCAGCGTCCCAGGCATTTCCCTAGAATCCCATGCGTTGTCATCCATAAGACCAGCAACAACCAAATATGGCCAAACATAATAATCTTGCTTTCCCCACACAGTACAGAATCAAAACCTGATGAATCCTGATGATCTTAAGGGAACGAACACACATTCATTACAAAATCAAAGACTTGCTGGGCCAACATGGGCCAACCAGCCTTCCACAGGACTCCGGAATCATTCCGCTACAAAAAAACTTCGGATGACCGACTTTTCTCGGTGCCTTGAGGTCCACTATTCCGGAGCGGAATTTTGCGATGAAAGATAGATATGCAAGCCACAATCATGATCATTGTTTTGCGCAGAGTCTGCAAGTCCTGTTAGATATTCTTCAACAACCAGTAAGCAGGTCAGGACTTCAAACTTATTATACTATACTGTCTGATGATTGTGCCCTTGATATAACTCCAAGACATGATTGTGAGATGTTTCGTTAAGAACGTTGGCAGGACATCCACAAGCAGCTAAGCATCTGACATCTTTGTAGGTGTCGTAGGTGACAAAGGCAAACCCTCGCGCTGGGAGTTTTCAAACGGTTTGGGACTTATCTTCCACAAGAAGGAACGATACATGTCCATAACCAAAAATCCCAAAACGTTGTAAGAACACTTCTCACACACCCACGCACTGGCAAGTATCGTTCCGTTACAGATTGGATAGGCACCACACTCACATCTCCATATCTTCTTTGTCTTCTCAATTTTCTGCAGCGAAGCAACCTTGCTGTTGACTAAGCACATCTAAACACTACAACCAAGTTGATGCGTCTGATATATGTCCCAACCGGTGCAAGATTGGTCTCATCTACAGTTGCGCTGAAGTGTTGTTTGATTGGAACCTCCCATATCTATGCACCACTGAGCGGCACCTGGTGGCTGCCGCGACACCCAAACATCCACGATGTCGCCATACTTTTTGAACTTTCGGGCTAGATCCTGGCACCCCGATCCACTGGTCCCATTGCTTCCGCTCGTCACCAAACACCAAATTTATTTGCCCACGGTCAACTTTGAGGATAAACTGGGATATAAGTCACCAACACCTTTCAATTACTTTGGGAGGCTTTGGTGCATGCGTCAACTCAATGTTGGTACAAATGCTTCAGCACGCACTACGCACTGGGCGGTGATGACATGCCTCCTTTTCTGGTGGAACCTCTCTGTCCAGGTTTCCAACATAGATCCTGGTGACAGATCTGAGATCCTTTGGGTTGCCATGTGTGACGGTTGGTGATGGTCTATGATCTGCTTTGTAACCGACCATTGAACAGGTCGCTCTCCAGCAGGTCCTGGTTGGCATGTGCTTTGACACCCAAAAATAATCACACTCCAGTCTTAGGAAATGAGCCAAAATGCCAGCGGTCATGAGTTTCACCAGAGCAAAAAGGGCAACTACAATAGATTCTTTGCTCATCATGGCTTCAGGACAAAAGCTTGAGCGAGCCATGTAAACACCTGCGAGGTATATTTTTTCCCACGTTCGCTGTACCGGAAGTAACAGAACTAAGATGATCTAAGATGAGCATTGCGGCAAGCAAACAGCAGTGCCTAGTGATGTATCCTTTGCGGACTCCAATTTGTGGATTGGTGCACATCATATCGACCGTGTCAGTAACACTCTGTGGGAAGCGATGAGGCGATGTCTCAACGGAAAAGATCTGGCGAGTTTGCCTCACAGCCACCTGGCCCTGGCGTAGCTTCTACTGTGGATCTCATGCTGATCTTATCCTGATAGCCATCGAAACCATCCCCACCCTGGAACACATGTGATTGGTTATTGGACCGTCTCAAGTTGGAAGAAAATCGGACTATTGAAACTCGGATGAAAAGTGGGGAATGATTGAGACACTCCAGGATGTATATGGGAGTTATAGTGATCTATATTGGATTTACATGGATTTACAATTCAAAGTCGAAGTGAAAAGCTTGAGACTGCTCATGCCAGGTATTGCCATGGAGCAAAGGGCTTGGTCCATCGCTTGAAGCCAACCCTGAACTGGAAACAAACCGACTGCATCACGAGGCGCATCATTCACCTTCGGATTGCTTGATGCTCAAGGCATCGGTTTCCCCAGTTTTTTGTTGATGTTTTATGAGCTAAAGATCTGCCAGCATCCAATGTATCCAATGTTCAGCTTACATCAAGGATGAACCTGCTGATTTGGGAGTGCCGCAATTATCTGATTCGATGAATATTATATTTATATCATATATCTAATACATATTTGTACTTCATAGCTTCACTGAGGAGACTGCTGAAAAAAATCATGGATTCACCCGGTTCACTGAAGTTTCTGCGTGATGTCAGGGTGTTGTCCTGATTCGCAGCTGAACTTGCAACACAAGCGATTCTGCATAGGAGCAACATTGTTTGCAAGTACTTTTGTCGAACCCTCCTCGATGTATCTCTGAAGGGTCTGTGCAACTTCGAAACACACCTTATGAATCGCTGCGCAACCATAACTCGATCCAAATCGGCACAAGCATCCGTTTCACCATTTTTAGCCGCTTGCATTGATAGACTCCCAAACTTTGCAGGGGTCCAAAGTCAACGCCGTAGCTGTGAGTTGTTTTTCAAAGCACTTCTTGATGATATAGCATGCTGTAGCTGTAGCATGCTGTAGCCATGAATTCAAGTTGTAGCACCTTCAATCAAAATCTGACAACTGTTCGGATTTCACCCTGAGATGCCCACATCAAAATCCTCAAGTAATAACCGCATCAAACATCGCAATGGAAAATCCAACAAATTTATAGATGATTTTCGCGTCATTTTCCCATTAAAACATTCATTTATAGGGGATTTCCATGGATTTCCATGGATTTCCCATTGCCATCAACTGATCATTCAGCGTTTTGCAGGAGATTGGAGCTTCGTTCAGGCTGACTGCTCCAGCTGGGCCGGCTCATCCAACTGGGCCGACTGGCCCAAGTGGGTCTCGATGCCTTGGGAGGAATCCAACTTGGGATGACGATAGCAACATCCAACTTATACCAAAAAAAAATATTCTGATAGCGGCTATACTCTACAGTATATATAGATATATCAGTATAATATCAGAAAATAGTAGATATATGTATTGTAGAAAAAAGAAGATATTCCTAGATGACATGATAATGCATGATACGGGACTATTAGAGCAGAGAGGAGTATGCCTACAACCATGACATGGATGGAGTTGACTCCAATAGGTGAAGTAAACCCAATGTGGAGTCCAACAGCCTTTGGCAGGTCGGAAAAAACTATCTGATTCCATGGAGTGTTCATCTTGTTTGGATGTCCTTCCCCTGTCTGACACCTCTAACTCATAGATCGGTGCCATGATGATTCAACTCTCTGAAGAGGGGCTCGTTTCACAGGATTTACTCATCATTTACTCATCATTTACTCATCATTTACTCATCATTTACTCATCATTTACTCATCATTTACTTGTGGATCCCTATTCACCCTATTGGTTTCCTGGGAGGGTGACCCCTCCAGCCACCACCAGTGGGGGCCTTTTTTTTGTGGCCAGGCACACGACTCTCCCTGGTGATGGAGGATCTGGCCCTGCGCTCCAGGTTCGAGGCGTGCAAGTCTGAAATGAGACTATCGAAGGCTCCACGCCTCAGCCGATGAGATGACAGCATTGGGATCCATGATCCAATATGATCCATGATAACAAAGGATGGGTCTGGGTAGTTGATATATGTATTATATATATAGATATATATAGATATATAATGTGTATGTAGAATGTGTGTGTGTGTGTTTGTTTTCGCTAATTCTCCGCAATAGGTACTTACAGGACGTGGCAGATATGAACATGGGAAGGACTCCGCACTTTGAGCGCAGTTGGAAGGATGGATGCCTGTGGCTTTTCGTGGTCAAATGGGGGTTTCCTAAGGCATGGGCCATGGGGGTACCCCAATAGCTGGATGCTTCATCATGGAAATCCTATTAAAATGGATGATTTAGGGGTACCCCCATGGATTGAAAATCTCCGTTCAAACCAAAACTGACATTGTCTCCTAGGTGCGCTGCAAGACCTTTGACTTGCCACTGCCCGACAATTGCACAGACCAAGTTGGCCCCAGCGTAGCTTCCCATGATCACGGCTAATGGCGTTGTTCCAGGCCACAACGTGGCACAGACCGGTCCAAGAGAGCCCGCAGTATAGAGAATGCTATGCGCCGTGCACCGCACGTGTGTTGGAAATGCTGTGGGTGTCAAAACCCAAGTCACTGAAATTGCACCCATACTTCCAGCGCGCAAAATGAAGGCTAGGGCACCCAGCAGCAGAGCTGGTCCCTTCAAGGCATGTGCAATGAGGACAGCAAGGCAAGCCAAGGTGCTGACCAAGTAGAACCATGGCTGGATGATGATTTCCGAGACCCGCCAGGCCAAACACATGGCTACGGTCACTCCTGCAATCTCCCCCATGCTGGAGAAGATCAGTTCACCGTAGTCGAAGGAACCACTGGAGGAGAAAATTAAACCGCTGCCCAAGGAAGCACCGTAGTAGCCAAAGAGTCCAAGCCACCAAATGATACCTGAAGTCTGAAAAATGAGAGGATGCAATCGGAGATCTGCACGTCTCATGCGCGTATAGCTTTGTGTTATCTTGTCTCCAGATTCAGTCATAGAAAGCTTGGGAATACCTGAAGTATGTTCACTAGCCCACAACAACGATTGCAAACCTTGGCAATTGTTTATAACTGTTTGCTCCAAGGAACTCAAAGAAAGCAGGCTTCTCCGGAGCGACGGAACCTCATCTGATACGTCGCTGTGAAATCATGTGAAATCTCCAGCGTTCTCCAGCTGAACCAGACAGACTTGCCCCACTGATGTGTGGGATTCTTTTAAAGGTTACCTTATGGCTCATAGGGATTTTGTTCCATGTCACGACTTTGATAAATTTGATATCCCAACTTTCAATGTTTGAAAATACGTAGCCAAGGCAGCTAAGATGCCAGTAGTTCTCTGCATGAAGGATCCGCTTCTCTGGCATAGGACACTAACGCCATGTTGCTCAGGTCCTGCGATGCCAATTGACTGCCCAATCCACGAATTCTGCACGTGGAAAAGGTTACGATTCTGTAATTACTTGTAAAATCTTGAAAATGTATGTCAATGTCTACGAGACA